TGGTCGGTATGTTTCAGTTGGTAGCTGTGATTTACTTATTTATTGTACTAATCTAATTGTTTTTATGTTTAGAAACAGGTAAAGTTTAAAACCAAATCGGTCTTTTTTCGACTTTGGCTTTCTCACAGACTCTGTGCTCGCCAATATTGCGTTTACAGTTCTAGAAGTACATCTTGAGGACAAATTAAAACCTACACTTACCAACAAATCTTTGTGAAGAACCTCTTTATTCTGTCATTAGCTAACAAATCGTAGCACATGGTGGCTTCAGGTATACGTTATAAGACAGTGGAATAAAAGAAATAAAATTCTAGCGGTTGAGTATGCTCCGAAACAAATCTTCCCTTCAATGTCAGTATATCATTCTCAGACTAACCTGGTTTGTGCGCCGGCGGTAATCAGAAGCCAATTGCGTATTCAGACGGATGAGTTAATTTCATGAAACCGTTCATGCAGAGAGACACGAGAGTAAACAAGCAGTAGGAATCGAGAAGGCGAGTGTGCCAACCTAATTTGATGAAGCATGACTCCGTGTGAAATAATTCCTAACGTACATTTAGTAAATTTGGGATCTGATTCATTGTCAAAGGTCTGTGATATACGTCTAGATTTTTGAGACAAGTTCATCAAACACTAAAGATGCTACGTCAACAGATTTTCTGGAAAATACTCAGCAGTCTCTGAATTCATAGTTTTTATACATTGATATATCTTCCTAAAAATTTTCGACCTAAAGCAGCTAATCATAAGTCTTAAAATCAATTAAATACTTTTTGAAAAAATAAGTTTCAATCTTTAGCTAGAAAAACAGTCTTCAGTCTTCCTTTGAAAAGAAAGTATCTGTACAATATGTTTTCGATTTTATTTTGTTTTGTCATGTCAAAGCACTTTGCTTTGGTCATTGTTAAGAAGTGGTACTGTTTCCGCTAATATGAACTGTTGCTCTACACAAAGATTCGTTTTCAAATGATTTAAATACGTTTGTTTTTGGTGAGTAGAGTCACAATGAAAGTGAAATTCATGATATTTTAAGTAATTCATTTACCCTCGGCATAATTGAGAAATACATATTACCGTTCACAATTTTAATTTGTCTTAAGTCTCGAACTCTCGATTTTGGGGATAATTTTATAGATTTTTGGAAGCTTTTTGGAGGCCAACATGGTGAAGTCTTGAAAATATTTGAATAATTGAGACTGAAAACCCCTAACTTTCTCTTTCTCAGGGGATAACTTAAAATCCTAGGAAAATCTACTAAAGGTTTGATTAAATTTTTAATAAAACTTGGAAACTCCTAAGAATTTACTCCGAACTTGGTAATTTACATTGAAATACCCTGAGATGACTGCGAAATCGTCTTTTGACTTTTAAAAACCTCGAATCCGGATTATTTGTTAACAAATGACCAGCCCATGGTCGAGAATGTTCACGTCCATACACCAATAGGAAGTAGTGATCATGACTTAGTCTTGTTTAACATGGTCATAAGTGAAGCACTCACACAGGACGAAGACGAGCCATATCTTTGCACACTAGAGCAAGTTACGAGCGTATGAGAGAGATCCTTTTACATGCTCCTTGTCCACGGGAGTGATGGAGGTTGACAGTAGATGATCGCTGGCAAACAGTGAGGGACATCATTCAGAATGCTGTCCTTAGCTATGTACCTCAGTCCCATTGCACATTTGGTAGCAGAAGAACATGGATTAGGCGCAGCACTGAAAGCTTGCTACAGGCGAGGAGGAGAGCCTGGCACCAGTGGAAGGTCCCCTTGGAGGATTCCGATCGTAGTTCTTACTTAGCATTGAAAAACAGATGCAATACCGAAGCTTTAAGTGATTTCAGATAAAGCTAGTTTCAAAAACACGGACAAACCTCATACATCTGTTTCGGTTCATGACTAAAAGAAAACCTACGAATCAGGATTAGTGTTTTTTCAAATGTTCGAACGAGGTAGACCTCATCAACCAGAAATGGCTGAGACCCTCAACACAAGCTTCACTGAGCAGTTAAAATAGGCATTCACATGTTCAGATTACTACGCGAACACAGTGCCAGCTGACGGATTTGAGAAAATCCGTATTACCCCTGACTTAGTACTAAGGAAACTAAAATTCTTACTCCTAGGTAAGTCACCAGGTTGTGACAGTATTCGCCCCATAGTCTTGAAACAATGTACAGAAGCTCTCTGTTCGCCGATATGTGGCCTGTTCAGGCATTCGCTGGAGTCACACCGATTCCTGGATGAATAGAAACAATGGAAACTCTGTCTCCAATCTTCAAAGGAGGAAATAGAAAGGACCCAGCCTGTTACACACCAGTTACATTACTTCCAATACTATTAAAGGTTAATGGAAGGGCTTGTGAACGAACAAATAAGGGAGTACATGGAAAAGAATAAAATACTCCATGAAACTGAACATGGGTCTCGGAAAGGCAGGTCGTGCGCATCTAATCATCTCATAGCATGGGAAAGTTGGACATCCTTCTTGGACCGAAAAATACAGGTGCACATAATTTTTCTAGACTTTGCAAAAGCCTTCGACACAGTACCCCACGTATACCTAATAGCAAAGGTTACAGAAACGGGATTCACTGACCCACTCATATCTTGGTTCAGAAACTACCGTGACAACAGAAAGTTTCATACCAAGGTAAACAGAGTGCACACGAGTTGGCGAGTTTCAACATCGAGTTTCACAGGGGACCATCTTAGGCTCACTTCTGTTCCTGATACTTGTTAAGGACCTGTTAGGCACAGTTAGCTCGGCGGCACTGATCTACATAGACGATGCAAAAATCTGGAGGTCCATTAGAAGCGAAGAGGATTCGACTGAGTTTCAGAAGGACCTTACATCCATTTAGGAATGGGCAGTTAAAAACGGTTTAAAACTAAACCAGCCGAAGTGCCACGTCATGTAAGTTCTGCCCCACATTAAGTAAACGATTTACAGCCTCAAAGGAAAACCGCTCCCTAATGTCTCCTCAGAGCGCGGTCTCGGTTTAATAACCACAGAAAGCCTCCACACAAGCTCGAACTAAATAGGGGACTCAGCCAGGGCAAACGCGACTCTTCACTTTATGCGAAGATAACTTGGTGCTATCACCCCACAACTATTCTTAACGTTGTTTCAGACATACGCGCGCCCACTACTGAAAGTTCAAAACGTCATCGCACCCCCTCTGCTTAAAAGAGACATAAATCGCTTGAATCGAGTGTAGAGACGAGCGATGATGATAGGGTAATATGGTTGAAGAACAAACCTTATGCAGATAGACTCCAGCACTTTGGATTATTAGCTCGAAGTTACAGAAGAATCAGAGTTGATCTGATTATGGCTTACAACAACATACTAAGCACTCCAAACCATCCCAACGTGAGCATATTACCGATGCATCGCCACCACTCCCCTCGAGGGAATCCTCGAAAAATCGCACGTCAAAGAGCGAATACTCAAGTTCGTGCACACTTCTTCTCTTTGAGAGTCGTCGGAACTTGGAATGCTCTCCTAGTCTAGGTGACCACAGCCCCCACAGAGGACAGTTTTAAGAAGAGACTTGATAATCCCGTACTCACATACGGATTATCATCCCCCTCTTGGACAAGCTGTCGCTGATGCATATCTTGAGACCTGCTAGTTGTTATCATTGTCATCTCCTCAGATCACTAACCTAATCGTCTATTATCTCTGTTTCCTCTTCCTTGCTTACACTTCAGTCCGATAAGATTAGACTTTTTCCTGGTACAGTAAAATTATGTAAACTGTTAACTTGTAACTGTGACTAAAAATAATAATCTACCAATGACTTGTCAACCAAATGTTTGCTGTTCGTAGAAGTGATTTTTATCTTTTTCTTCTGTGTTTTTATACACTGCATTTTATCCCCCCGCCTACCCCGCAACTTGACGCTGCCATATCAGGTGTATTTAAAACAATTCGAATTTTCATTCGTCAAGAGATCCATTTTCCAGTTTACTTCCTCCAACTATTAATTATTTTGTAGTTTTTCCCGATAGTAATCAAGTTGTGTTGAAACAATAAGCTGATGTAACATTTTGAACATTGAATGTGACCTGATCAATGTTTATTTTTGTTTGATACCCACGTGCAAAAGTCGTGAATGTGCACTGCTAATGTGTGTGTAGTCCCATACTAGGACGAAACGGTTGTCGTTCAATGCTTTCAGATTTATAAAGATGGTCTAACAATGATCAATTCCTGATTTCACTTATTAAAAGTGTTATTTATAAACCATATTAGTTAGACTTATTCCCCTGTGATTGTCACAAGAGGACTTTTGTCCTTTCTTGTAGATTGGGACAATCAGTGATTGAGACCACTCGGATGGGATTACACCTAGTTCCCAGACTCTACCTGAGAGTTCGGTCAATCTATCTGTTAAAACGGGACCATCATCCTTACGAATCCCAGAGAATCGCCTGTCAGATCCTGCTGCTCTCCCTCGCTTCAGATTTACTAACGCTTTCTCAACTTCATTAAGACTAGGGGGACTTAGGTCGATTTGCCATTCAGGATGACTGGAGATCGTGGGTAACCGAAGAGTGGCTCGAGGCCAGTTGAACTTACACTAGGATTCCTAATACCAGTTTCCTTGATAAGTCGGAAAAGTTGTCTACTGTTGCCGATCGCCGCTGCCTTTTTCATCGCTTTTGCTTTCGCCACCCACCACTGTTCGCGATCGTTACGTAGGCTTTTCATAAGTCTGTGCCTAAGTTGACTTCGTTCTTCATCATGTTCAGAGCCAGGTGGGATGAGTTTTCGAGCATCCATCAGATCGGTGGATGCGACTGTAATCCACGGCTTCATCCTCTAGCCTTATGGTTTACCTTGCTAGCAGATATCACTACTGTTTCCACAGCCTTCTTGTTTTAATATTACTCAAACAAAACAATTAATTCGTTAGTACACACTAACATTTTTTTTTCATAAAAATTATTTTCAGATTTTATCATCAACTCAACTGTGAAAAAACAAATAATGAAATCAAGAACTGCAAATCAACGTGAACATCATAATGCCAACTCTGATTTACGTCTACTTGATTATCAGTAATGAAGAAAAAAAATATTTTAATTTTTTGTTTTTGTTTATTCAAAGGTCAAAAAAATTGTACAAAGAATCTATTCAATTGTTCAATAAATTATCATTGAATCATAAGGAGGTAAAATTAATTTTGGATTATTTTGAACAATTGAAATCAATTCTTCTTACAGATGGTATGTTGTTGATGTTCCCCCGCTTCTTATGATGTTCTTGTTTTATTTAGGTAAAAAATATCATGAGAAATTGACGAAATTTCGCGCTTTAGTCAAGCTGTTCATTGAGAAAAAAACACAAATTATCAATAAACAAATTAGTTATGTCACTTGTATGTTGTAGTATATATTGCATTGTATTTTTTTTACAAATATTCTTATTTAATACATATTATAGCTGTGAAAGAATTAGAAAATTTATTAAAAAATATTGAACAAATTTTAACAGAATATAAAACTGAGGAAAGAATGATGTAAGTAATTGAATTATCGTAATATGCTTATTATCGACTTCAGTTATTTGATGTTTAAGCCATAATCGAGGATTACTTATGCCTTTTACTCCTGATGGAGTATTGGCCAACGACTGGCATACTCCAACCTACTACTATGTCCTAGGTTTTTTTTAAAAAAGGGGGCATTGGCCTTGTGACTTACGATAAAAACTCAGACACGTTATAACTCTTCTAAATTAGAACCTTCCAACCGCCAGGGCGTTTCTTTAGTGAGTTGGCCACATGCTCAACCCTCCTACTTTAAACGGAATTGGGACAGGCAATAATCCAGGAAAGTCTACATCAGGAGTTAATCAAGGATTGTGAGTTTTTCTAATCTAAACAGATTTCATGAATTCAAAGAATTTGCTACAAATGAGAAACAAAAGTAAACTGAACAAATGGAGAATCTTAGGTTTGGATTAATAAAAACACGCAAAAAATATCTTTGTTATCTTCAAATTTTCCTAAAAGACCAACTAAATGATATGAAAAAGAATGAAATTGGTATAAAGTGCGTTTTACTTTTTAAAATCGTGAATCGATCAATGTTGTTAGACCGGAAACCCGCGAGCACTGGATGGCCGTTTTGTTATGGTATGGGACTGATCAACAGAACACATCCAAGACTCCTGCAAATTGAGGAATTCGAACACTATGAGGTTCCGGCTGTGTTTCAGAGTTTAGGTGTTCGCGCGCAAGATCGAAGGTCCTGGGTTTGAGTCCTGAGGGTAGCAGCAGTTGCGGACGCGCACATCAGGACGAAACGGCCGTGTTTCAGTGCTTTCTGAAATGTTGTTCTAACATTGATCAATTCATGATTTCAAAAGGTGACTCAACAATCTCTCATGCAAAACGTGTGTTTTGACAGCTATTTTTATGTATGATTCATAAGCAGACCCTAAATGACCTGATACGGCCGAGTAGAGGGTGGAAAGTTAACTCGCCTTCTTCGAATGCTCTCATTTAGCCACTCATATAGCTCAACTTCCACGAAAGTTCTACTCACTTCGTTATCACCACTGCAATGCTCTTTACGAAATCGGTAGGAAGAATTGTGAATTTTCGGTGCTTAAACCAGGTTGATGGATATGGAAGATATGTTATGTTGTACGGTGCCTCAGATCTGAACGTGATTCATCCTTACCCCAAAAACTGGCTTCTTGAGTAAGAAGACAAGAATTAAAGAGAATGTCCTTTTGGCCACTGAATCAAATATCTAAATACCCATTTATATGTTATGATACATTCTTCTCTCTTAGAAAATAATACCATTTTTTGACCAATGATTTGCATTCATCATTTAAGACATTTCAGATGACCTTCTCATTTGGCCATTTCTGACTGACCAATCATATCAGATTATTATCAAAAATTAGTTATTCAATTATCAAATATTTGTTTTATTTTAAGAATTATACAATGTGACATTCACTTATGATTTATATTGATATATTATCACTCCTGGTTCAAATTGATCCGCATTTATTCCTATCAAAGTACCTATTTAGAAAACTCTGATTTCAAACCAATGGTGCATATCGGCTTCCGCATCCTGACGGAACTAACAGCGTATGAATTTACTGTTAGTTACCGGCTACCATCGAACTGCATCTTCAAACGTTGTTCCAGTGCTGTGTGGATTAGACCTGTAGGTCAAGGACTTGGAAAGTAGCACTCTAAGACAAGCATATGTTCCGATTTGATCAGCCGGGCAGTATTCCAGCCCAATTACAGATTCACTGATTTGTGCTGCGCATAAATGTTTAGGTGCTCCACTTTACGAATGTTTATGTGTTTAAACAAATATTATTAATCCTAAATAGGTCTATACTCTCAAACAGTTAATCCCTTACTTCTTAAATAATCACTACTTATAACCCTATTTGGTGGATGTTTAATGCATATACAACAAATAGTTACTTAGTAAGCGATACAACCCACTGATCACTCTTTTACTCATAAATGCTTATTGGTCTTAGTGTACATTCCGAGTAAAATATGAGTTTTTATCATACCGTTATGGAGATTGTTGATTTTCATTGAAACCGTGAATCGACCATCGTTAGACTACCATTAGTCAGACAGTTAGTCAGTCAGATGCAAGGTAGAACTTCATACGTAAGTACATCAGTTAATGTTGCCATACCATATCAGCACAGAGATATAATTGTCAATTCAAATCCAGTGCTAGAAGAGGTAGGTAGTGAAGGTATTAGAAGTAATCAGAGAGGTTAAGATTAGAAGATATTATTGAAGAAGTATGATTTAATGAGAAAAGTTTAGAAAGTCAAAAGTAGAGGTGTTGAAGAATCCAGAAGATTAGGATTAGAGAGAACACAAAGAATAAATGCAACGGCGCCATTGCGAACGATTTTGAGCCATGTCATTCAAGGTCTCTAACCATCGATTATTATCATCTCGCGGATCCCAACCAGGTAGTCGACAATTGCCGACATGGCTAAGTCCACTCGTCAATGATTTCATGGATTTATGCCATGTTTTCGTTTGGCCGCACCTAACTTTCCTCCAACCTATTCCTACACTACAAAACAAAGCTCTTCGAGGCAGTCGGTGGTTAGGCATAAGTAACACATGTCCCAACCACCTCAACTGATTAAGTTTCACTACTTCATCTATTGATCTGCCATTCTTACCTAGCACCCGTTTCCTAATAACAGCGTTGCTCACTTGGGTGTCCCACGATATACGAGCAATGCTTAGAAGACACCTGTGATCGAAAACCAGTAAAGTACGAATATCTTCTATTCGGACTACCATTAGAAACCTGGAAGCACTGAAAAACGGCCATTTCGTCTTAGCATGGCACTCATTAACAGTGCGCATCCACGAACCCAGCTCGAGGGTATCAAACCCAGGACCTTTATTTCTCGCGCTTGAACACTTAAGCTTAATCCACAGTTTTGCACAAACTCATCCACTGTCTTCAGTGGGTAACTACCTCAAACCCGATAGGGTTAAACTTCAAATGTCTGAAATAAAATTTGGACTAATACTTGGTCGGAAACATAAGCCTTACTTGAAACTCTACTGTTTAAAAATATCATTTGAATAGATCAATAAAAATGAGTTTCAATTCATAACACCTTCCTTTTTTTTTGAAAAAAATAAACTTTTCATCAGCGCTGAAGCATTAATTCAACAAGAAGTTGAATTATGGCAAGATTGTTTAAATATGGAACATCGAATCAGTTGTTGGGAGAGTAGTGATTCAAAGGCATTAGATAAAATTCATTTCAACAATTCACATAGAATACAATCACATAGTTTATCAATGCGTTTAACTACTACTGTTGGCAATAATTTACCGCCGGAAATCAATGAATTTCAAGTAAGTATATGTTTTTTTTGGTGGATTGAAGGTAAAAAAACGTTTCGTCAACACAATCAATGATAGATTGATTGAAGTTCAGAAAAAATCAACACCGTTGGATGCTGACTTAATGGTCTAGAGATTGGTTGTGTGTGTTCACAAGCCGATACTGATGGTCACTGGATCGATTACTGAGTGCAGGGTTGTGGATCATACTACTGAGAAGTTCCATTTCAAGTTTCACATGATTGTCTAGCTAGAAGATCAGTTCGTGATTTCAACTTTGGGAAATATTGCAATCTCCAATTTAATTTCGTGCATTATATCTAAGCCTACGCCGTTTGGACAACGGTGTTGGATGAGTTTATTTCGTGCAATCGTTTACACAAGACAACAACATGATGATAAGATGTGGGAAAGCAAGGCAAAGTAAAGCAGAGAAATAGAGAAGGATAACCTCATTTGATAAGTAGCGACTCAATAATGGTAGTCAGATAAGTTGAGATCATCCAAGGTTATTAGTGACTCATTAACGCGATCAAAAGACTTGTGAACAGTGTGATTTGGGAGAGGAGAGAGTGATTGATTTATGCGAACAACTAGAACAAGCCAATATATCCTTTTCATTAATAGTAACTTAAACCTTATCTCAGAAAAATTGTTTTCCGATCATTTTGTTCACGTAATAATATTTATGATTTAGCTTTTACACAATCCATGATCGATTAGCAGCTTCTCATATATTGATAACTGTTGCAGCAGCCTCGGCAGCAGCAGATCTCAGTATACACAAAGGGAAAAACAAGATTCTCCGATATGACATAACATGCATCAACCAAATCACATATGACGGAGAAGCTTTGGAGGATGTAAAAACCTTTATTTTTATCTTGGAAACATTATTGATGATGCAGATGTGAAGTCGTGGATCGGCAAAGCAAAGATAGTATTTCTACAATTGACGAACATATGGATCTCAAAATAACCGCCAACCAACAACAAAGTCACCAATTTCAATGCGAAATTCAAGACAGTTCTATTGTATGGTGTAGAAACTTAAGAAATTATGAAAACCATCATCTAGAAGATAAAAGTGTTTATTAACAATTGGCTACGTAAAATATTTCGAATCCGTTCCCCAGACACTATGAGCAACCAATCTATTATGAGACAAAACCAACCAGATTTCAGAAGAAATTAAGAAAAAACTCTGGAAGTGGATGGAACAAACATTACATAAACCACCACCAAACGGTGTCACAATACAAGCCCTCACTTAGAATTTTTAAAAGTCGAAGGAAAAGTGGAAGACCGAAAATCCCATTACTCTGAGAAATGGAAACAGACACGAGAAAAATGAACAACAATCAGACAGAACTGGAAACGAAGACAGAGTACAAAGTAGGTTGGAGAATGCACAGCAGTGGCTTATGATCCATTGGGAGTCGCAGGCGTAAGTAAGTAGGCTGCACGATTTCAGAAGGAGTTCAACCCTGTTGGGTGTAGGCAGTAACTACCACAAAAGACAAATGGGTGAGGTCGCGCAAAATCCCTAGAATAATCAGAGTTAGACGTTAACACAGTTGGATGCCAGCCCAGTGGTCCGATGATTAGGCGATCGCGCCCAATACTGAAGGTCCCAGGTTCGAATCCTGCAAGGGGCAGGAGTCGTGGATGCTCACTACTGATGAGTCCCATACCAGGGTGAAATGACCGTGCTTCCAGTTTTCTAATGGTGGTCTAACAATGATTGATTGATGGTTTCAAATGTGTAAAAAAACGCAAACCTCCAAAACTCTGCCCCAAAATATCGGAAATAAAAGCTTCACTCATACATGAAAATTTAAATAATCCCTATAAAAATAACAGAGATTTTTTAATTTTCTTCTTAGTTATTATTCTTTTCTTTTTTCAAACTCCAATTTCAATCATCTTAACTTCTTCTATCTAGAATTATTTAGACAGTCATGGCGGTCGTACTGGTGGTTGGAGTGAAGATGAACATTTGAAATTTTTAAAACATTATAAAATTCACAAATCGAAATACAAAGATGAATTAAAAAATCTTGACAAATCAATAAATCATTGTGAAACTGTTAATCATCATCATCATCAAGAAAACGAATTGTACACTTCAACAATCGATAATAACAATACTGATAATATTGAACAACAGAAATTGAAAGAGAACAATTTAGTAAAACAAGATCAACATATAATCAGTGTATTTCATCAAGAATTAGCAAATCTACTCATGACTAAAACACCAGAACAAATAGCTGAACATGAACAATGGTGGAATGAGTTTCAACGATTGGAAGATGCAAAACGTAAAGCTATTCAAAAATGGAGTGAGAATCGGGTATGTGTGCGTGTGTGTGTAATTATGGAATCAGTTTTCTTTAGATAATGTAGTACGTTATTGTAATATGTGGAGGATTACTGTTAAATGTATTATTTCCTTAAGAATATTGTACAAGATTTTGTCAAACACACTATATTGCAACGCTTGCTTAGATAATTCCCGGCTAAATCCTATTGCTTAGTATTCTCTGACCACAAAACACTGGACAAGTTCCCAAGAATCAAACACGGTTGAACAGGAAAAGATTATATTCCAAAATAGCAAGGAATAAGAGGCCAGAGGTGATGGTGAAGGCGAAGGCAAAGAAGGCAAAAAAATAGATACAACGCTAGTCTATTTATAGCATTTTCATGAGAAAGCTTCTGGATAGAAATTCACGTGATCGACTGGATTAGATTTAACCAATCAGCATGCACCTAACAATGCGAGAATTTTTACACATTTGAAATCATTAATCAATCATCATTGTTAGACCACCATTAGAAACCTGGAAGCACTGGACGGCCGTTTCCAGGTTTCTAATGGTGGTCTAACAATGATGATTGATTAGTGATTTCAAATGTGTAAAAACGCAAAACCTCCAAAACTGTGCCCCAATGCGAGAATTTTCTACCCTGTTCTCCAAGATTCGATCAGGCGCTGATTGGACAGGAAATTAGCCAATCAGCGCGCAGCAACGTAGTCATGCCTTAATTCCATCTATGTCCCCCTAACACACTAGATACACTTATTTAATTACTTAGGTTTTTTTACCCCCCGACTGGAGCATAGTCCGCCGACTAGCATTCTCCAACCTACTTACTCTGTCCTGAGCCTTCTTTATCGAATACACTACTTGAGAATTAATTGTCAATGAATAACAATATAGATAAAAATGTAGCTATCAGTGGAATCCAGGACGTGCGTGGGTGTATCTGCCATATCATAGAGTTGATGTTAACTCCATATTGCCAACCAAAACATCAAAATCAATATTCAGTCAAAATTATCAACACGATCTATACAATAATTAGTAATAACATTTTATGTTACTTATTAATTGTAAGTAGTATAAGCAAATAAGTCTTAATTTAAATCAGTTAGAATGTAGTTCGGTACATGGTTAAAATTCGTAGTACTTTGATGTGCTTTCCTTGTGACAGGACATATCAGCCGATCGTCAGTTATTTTGTTAATCACTACATAAATCCTTTACTTTATTATATTTTAAGTTGCCTGTTCAATGAACTAAATAATTTTTCTGATATACAATTTGAGTTACTTCCTTGATAGCACATATCACACTTTATTTTATTTGAGTAAAGCTGAAATAATCTATTATATATATATAAATAGATGGCAGTTCACATCCATAACCTCCACTTGCAGGAATCAGACTCAGGACATTCGGTCGATATTAACATCCGACATTAACACCGCTGGATGCCAACACAGTAGTTCGTAGTCTAGAGGTTAACTGTTCACTAGCGAAATCGAAGTACCTGCGTTTGATTCTTGCAAGCGAGGGTCGTGAATGTGTGGTGGCCAATGTATCACTAGTTTCGTGACGGTTGGTATCCAACGTGTTCTTAGGCTTCGTAATTAGCTCGTCCAGACAATCGTTTACTAAATAGCGTCTGACGGTTTATAAATCAGAACGTGAACTCGTAGTGATGAATACGTTTATTTTGGCACACCACAAATAGATTAGCAGACTATGAGCATGCGAGCCCCGGAAAGCAGGCAAGCAGGCGATGCAGTGAATCGGTGAATAAACTGAAGTAGAGCGGAATGGAGAAGGCTAGTAAACCAACTCCTAGAGATCAAGCATGACTAAGAATTTATAGTCAGACAAAAATAAGACAGACATGTGATCCAAGCGATAGGCATGCACGCACATGAAGAATGAAAGCGACGAATGATTGACAAGGTCAAAAGACAAGTGGAACACAAGTCATGTGAGCTAGACATTGAATGAATGACTCACTACAGATTCTCATCGCTGATCAATCTCATACCAGGCAGAAACGGCCGTCTCTCAATGCTTCCAGATTTCTACCAGTGATCTAACATTGATCGATTCATGATTTCAATGTGAAAAACAACAATCTCCATAACTCTATAATGAGAAAGAAACATATTCAATTGACAAATGATCGATATGTGGAACATTGAAAAAAAAATTGATAATTGAAAATACTCATCAATAATTCGATTTTTTTTTTGAGAAATTTGATTGAAAAGCATCATAGCACTGGTTGTTTTTCGCATAGTTTGCATACCATGGGGTGTTTAAAACAAAAAAATTGAACCAAACTAACTTTATTTTGCATTGATTGTCCTTCTATTTGTGTTTTTTTAAAAATTATTGAAGAGAAAATTGAAGTTTATTTCATAAGAAATAAACTTCATTGTTTTTTGATATAACTGACTGATTTAGTAGGGGTGTGTATTGTTTTTTTTTGGAAAAACAATACAAAGCTGCACAAAAGAAAAAATTTAGTAGTATACAATAGTGTTGTAGTTGTTGTTGTATGTAGATAGATAGAAAGAGAAATATTTTTTGAGAAAGAATTTTTTTAAGAAAAATATTTAAACTAAGAATGATTTAAATATGCAAATTAGTAAGTAGTATATCATGTATTGATGCTGACTGTAGTAGTGGTCTAATCAATCTGTGATTAAAGTAATCCCAATGAGATACGACGATAAGCCTAATGTGTCTATCATAGAGTGAGTAGTCTGCTCTGTGGGCTTCACTCTACCTCAAGCAACTGAAGTATTCATCTAACTGATCTTACGATTTAGCACCCATCAGATTCATATCATTGACCCCTTGTAGCCACATCCAAAGGACCGTACATAGTGCTTCATTGCAAACCCAAGTAATATACGATTGATAAGAACGGGATCACTGACAACATCAGCATCGATCGGCTGGAATCCGCCTACTTAGAAGGAAACTCTTCTTTGCTGACTTCCCCAATACACAAACGGATGACATGACCCCCACAAACACGATCAATAATGGCTACAACGACGCTTCGTTGGTTTCCGAGAGCAATCCAGAATGACGTGTAACGGAAGATTTATGAGATTCTCTTTAGGCATCGTCTTTAAACGATTGATAATATGTACAATCATCTTCTAAGTATTTTTTACATACAAGTGAACCATTTTGTGAACAGTGTTAAGATTAGGCATTGGATATCCCCGAAATGCCTTGATTCAACCGACAGTGCGGAGGGTCTGTTCTCTCTCTCTCTCTCTGTCCAGAACCAATGGTCCGGATCCTAAAGTAACGAATGGTGTAGGAACCTATTGCAGGTCATCGGCTATGATAAAACTGTATCTTTTAATGCTGGTCCCGTGTTTCGCAGATTAAACCATCGGAACAAAGACTGGAGGAGTGGTACCCTAATAAAATCACCTGTTTCGATTTGAGAAACCAGAAACTATCTTAATTCACTTACAAATTCAATGATTTGTGTGGCATATAAATATTCAGGTGCCCTTTTGTACTTGAAGTTTTGTGTTTAAATCAATAACAGACACTATATAGTAGATAGGAGAAGCTCTGAAATTCCTCTAAATTGAGTAGTTTGAATCTGTTTTGTTGAGTCAGAGAGACCGATTTTTATGCTGAGCTTCAACGCTTTATTTTAAAAAAGGAACATGCAATAATGTCGGCTTAACATGTGTTCTCCAATGAACTGGAATACATAACTATTATAAGTAGCCAGTGAGAATTGGTCGTGCCAGAAGGTCACTTGATGACAATTAGAGGAATTCCCTTGAAGACGAATGCATATAATTGAGTTATAAGAAGTGGATCCATTTTCTAAGAGTCAAAGAATGTATTAATGACTATTTATGGTTGTTTGTTCGGTAGTCAAGTAGATTTTCTCTTCCAATTTTACCTTCTGATACAAAAAGTCAATTTTTGGAGAGGGGAATTAGTGCATATAGAAGACGTTCAGATTTCGGACTACACACATCAAAACATATCCCAGCCCCACCTTAATGGTCCCATTTAAAATGTAACCGCTTAGTTCGATGGTCGATTATTTCAAATAACAGGAAAATCGTTATTTTTACGTGGAAAATGTACAATATTTGTGACAATATACACATGGTTTAATAGTTTACATAAAAATAAGTAATCAAAAGAGAACAATTTGTACAAACAAACAGAAATCAAAATCAACAATGAGAAAGTAAAAAATCGGTTGTTTATTTTGTAATCAGTAAACAAATAATAATGATCATTATATATTAGAGATTTCTTCTCCACTGTGGTATCATTCTTCCAGTGTTTGCTCTTAAATCAAGACCTTGATTAATGATAGTTTGTGTTTTTGGTTGAGCTAATCGAAATTCCCATCCTTTTGTTAATTGACATAAACGTTGTGGATCACGTGTGACTTGTATGTTTGTCTGTTTTTTTTAATGTAAGAAAAAGAGGATTATGAAGGTGTATAAATGTTTATTAACAGTTGGTACGTTACGGAAATAGTGGTAGTTTATACTTATTAAAGTAATCTACTTTACGAACTAAATGTCATAAACCTCTTCTTCATACAAATACGTTAAGCTGAAAATCAGGAATGTAATTTTATATTTGGTAAACGAATTGCGCGACCTGGTTTATTGTCCTTGATGGGCACTGCTTCACACGTGACGGCGTGGGAATGCACTGAGTACGACTTCTCAGGTGTCAGGTATGAAGCAGTGCTCATCGAGAACAATGGATGAAGTCGCGCCAAACCGTGAATTGGATTTAAGCTAGGGGTAAACACCGTTGGAACTGCCTCCTCATCGGCTTAGCGTTCACTCATGAAACCGAAGGTCCTAGGTTCGATCCAACATACAGGTTGATGTTCACACCAATTACATAAATCGATGATAAGAATGCAGTCAACCTGTTGGATGTATGTACATGTGGGCATCCATACAAATTGTCATGCTTTATTCAACACGGCAAAATGAAATTTTCATAACAAGCCCCAGAGCAGCTGGCGTACTAACATTATTAGTGGTAATTCAAAAGATTAATCATATAAAATATGGATTAAGTTCCTTTGTTTCATTCTCCTCAGCGAATTAAAAACTGTTTACTCTCGTGAAATCAGTACATAAAAGAGATTTGATATAAATTTGGAATATATCTGCCAATTCACACATTCATTATGGCAAAGTTTCCTTCTCTGAACTGGATGTTTTCGTTGTGAAGTTTTCATAGTCAATCTTCTGAATAACATTTCATTATCAGCACAAACTTCAAATAGCAGAAGTGAAGTATTCGAATTTCCTCATCACACATGACTCGTAGTTTCTTCTATCCATTCCCTGATGTTCTCAGTGATCTTTTCATTCAAGATTTCAGCACTTCCATTGATATAAGAGATATGCCAGGGCGTCTGACACCTAACTGATGTTGTTCATGCAGGCAAAGATGAAGTGGACATCCACTTTTGTCTGATGAAATGATTTTCGCAGCTGGAATAGTTTATTTTGTAGGTGATGGTTTGTTTCTCCTCATTTGCTATTTTGTTCCTTTGATTTGCAGAGGAGTGATTAAATTAGTTTTGTTGGTTCATGTATCACACCTACCTATTCCAAACGACTTCAGTAATAATATCGTAGTGATTTCTGATATGTCTTTATATGGTTGGATGTTTAGTGGTGAGGGATCCGACTGTGATTTGGATGAACGATTGAATACGCTATGAGACGGACGATATTTCTTCTCTTCCATTTCCGTATAACTCAGTTTGTCTGACGTTGATATTAAGAAGCCGAACACCGATTCAATTGGATGAGTTTATTCTATGTAATCGTTCATGCAGAAAGACACCATTTGTATACACTACAAAGCTGTGCAACGGTAGTTGTTATTAAAAGCCTGATACAGTTTTTTAGATGATGAACTGATTTCATACATACATTTAAACAGACAGACATGATCATAAAAAGCGTACAATTAGAAAGGAAGTCGAGTGCCGAAAGTGAGTGAACCAGCACAGTGTGATAAGGCGCAACTAAACACTCATAGTCAGAATAAAAATAGACTAGACATGTTTGATAAGTGAAGCCAAGCAATTCACTCATGTGTTCAATTACAATCTGCCAAGATTTGAAGAGAATCATTGACAGGAAATGAGAAGATATGTAAATGGTAATAACTCAGCGAGTAAAAAAGTTAACGAGTTTGTCCAAAAGCTAGGACAAGCCATGTATACATACGCCACACACTATACATACATATCTTTAGGTTTTTCATTACGTTTCAAAATAGATTTGACAGATATATGATGTTGAGTGAAACATTCTTGTTATGCTCGTCACTTGATATATGCTTGAAACTATAGTCGATAAACGAGAACGAGATAATGACCCAGTGACACGGTAGGCTACTCTCATCCGTTGCCCCAACTAACTGAAGAAAAATTCTTGATATGGCATAGAAAGTGTTTTCTACAAACACCCAGCAATTACAATAAATTCAAGTGCACAAATCGCGTTTATTTATACATCAAACATAGAAACGTTCTTGGGAGAGTCACAAAAATAGCACACTAAAATAACACATCAACCAGTCACATCCAAGGATTTTCCTGATGGGAAATGTGATCCCAAGGTCAGCTGGTCAGCCCATGGATAAAATCCAAAAGTAAGACATTTATCAAGTGAGTTCTGGGGATGTAACGTCCCCAACAGTTCTAACATAGCAATTATTATTAACTGACACTACTTACTTAAATTATTATCACAATCTCTCTATTGTATGTAGTAGCATGATGAACAAGGTGAAACTGATCAGCGTTAGAAAGTAATTACTATTTTCATCGTTCATGGTTATTTATGATTATTATTATTATTAATACTGAATTAAATAAAAACTATGATTATTATTTTTATGATTATATAAACAATTAAAAAGTGTTCAAGTACACATTTGTATTGATTTTTGATTTTTCAATATATTTTATGAAGTAATCATCATCATCATCTTTTGAATAAAAAAACTAATATTATGATTTTCATTTATAGAGTTGTGAAGAGATTGTTGTACTGTTTGAATAGATCAATGTTAGACCACCATCAGAAAGAGACCTATAACTTTTAATGAGAGTAAGAAAACTTTGCTCATTCATGACTATCTTCGCGGGGAAATCCTCGGAGTTGGTAGTGATAAGGCGTAACTAGTGTGAAATTCAACCCTGTCCGGTATGAGGCAATTGCTAGAGGAACACAATCAGTGAGACTGATCAATACCTTGGATTGAGTCAAATGAGACACTAACACCGTTCAATGCTGATAGTCTCAGTGGACAAGAATTTAAGTGTTCCCACAGGAGATTGAGGGTCCTGGGTTTGATTCTCGTAAGCAAGGGTCATGGATGCGCACTTCTAATGAGTCACTCCTATACCACTAATAGGACCAAACAGACATCTTTCAGTACTTCCAGGTTTCTAATACGCGGTGGTCTAACATTGATCTATTTTATAGTTATCATTCAAAATGATGCAAAACGAATAATTCTTTTTTTGATTGTCATTGTTTGCTAAAAATATTTTATAACTAATGATTACTTTTTGTGTGTGTGTGTGTGTGTATTTGTAAGCAAATATCGATCGAATTTTTTATTTACCTGTTCTGTTATATTCTACTTCTGAAATGCATTGAAGTAATCAATCACATCCTATTTTATAGATCGATCGATACATTCAGTGTACACTGAACATGTTCAATTTTCAATAAATAAATGATGATAGAAAAAAAATGGAAGATTGATTGATTGAAACAAACAAAAAATTTTATTCTTGTTAAAAAAGTTTCCAAAAAACTCGACAGAAGAAATATTTAATGCCAGAAAGTATAAGACATAGAAAATCCTATTGTGCTTGTGTATGTATGAGTCGGAAAATGAGATTTTGTTTGGAAATGAAGAAAAATATTAGATAAAAGTCAATAATAAATGTGAGAATATGTTGAACATCAGCTGATAAGACTCCACCTGGAGCCCCTCTGAGGTTACAGCTGGTCCCAAGCCCGGATGGAGGAGGAGGGATGAAGTTAGCAGCCCCCATCCTGTTGAAAACTAACTCGCTCAGAAAAATGCTAACCATAACAAAATAGTGTAGTGAAAATTTATGCAAGGCTAAAATGATAGATACTCACTGTCTAAGATAATTTTCTGCTTACCTTATGAATGAATTCGACAGTCTCAAATATGATCTGTGTTCACAAGTTGATCGAACTAACGCCGATCAATTAGTGATCAGATGTTAATGTCACCAGCAACATCTATGACTTTCTTCATAAGAATGATTTCTATTGAAATTCAGAAATTCACTTTAATCCAGATGACTTGGGATAAGACACTTAACTTTGGTTTTATAGTATTTTTTCAAAAAATCGATCTCCATCCAAAATGACTTACTTACTTACTTACTTACTTATGCTTGTTAAGTCCTAATGGGGCATAGGCCGCCAACCAACAAATTATTTTTCTGGTTAACATTTTCTTTGGCAAGTCGAACTGTAACGCGATAGGGGTTGCTAACCCCTATGCCCAAACCTCCTCCTTTTTATCCGGAGGCTTGAGACCGGCAGTAACCTTCGGACGACTCCAGGCGGATTTCATTCAAAATGAATCAGCTGTTTACTTATTTATTGCCTCCAGCCTACAATGAAAACTATTTCTAATCGATTCAACTTTAAACTAATTAATGCTTTTATTAACAAGAAAAACAATTCACTATCCAAAATACTGTACATTGAACATTTTTACAAACTCTTTTTAGCGTTTAAATCTACAGAATCGAAGACAATCTAGTGAGAATATTGATAATGGCAATGACAGTGATCGTAAATCGTCTGAGAAACAACAAAAACACCAATCGATCAGCCAAATAGAAGCAAGAAAAGCAGAATTAGAATTATGGCGTTGTCAAAGAGAAGAAATGAAGAAACGCGCGGAATTGTTAAGAAAACAAATTGAATTCCAATCGAAACAAGCTGAATTAGAAAGTAAACAAAAAAGACAGGTATGATAGTGATGTGTGTGTTTTATGTGGAAATCATGAGTCATCCATCTCATTGTTACAGCATCATTAGAGAAATCTGGAAGCACACTGAAAGATGGCCGTTTCCGCCTGTCTTGGTATGAGACCAGTCATCAGTGGCAGTGTGCATCTACAACTTCTGCTACTCGTAGGAATCGAACCTAGGACCAACGGTCTTGCACAAAAACTCTGTCCAATGCTTCTAGGTTTTTTAATGATGGTCTAACAATGGTGTATTCATGCTTTCAACAATCTGCATAACTCTGTAATGAAAAACCATGTGTGCACTAAATAATATTGTAGTGAACGAGAACACAGGTGAGGCAACCGAATTGTATTTAGTGAAAATTACAGAGTTACTCAGTAAAATTGGAAAACCATATCGTAAATCGTTCATTTGCGAAATAACAGTTCCTCATATCGAACTGGACTGTTCCTGTTGCAAAACATCAATCCATTGTCACTATTCATGCGCTTCATACAAATTCTATTGTGTTCTAAATCTTCCTTTCTTGATCTTCCCCCATCTTCGGCTGCCAGACATTACGTTGACGCTCACGTCATATACTACTTATAAGTAGCTCACACCACAATATTAGTCAAATGGAATTTATCAGATGTCATCACTTAGTAGCTCAGTTTGTTGCTTCAAGTGATTTTTAGTGGTTCGTATATGTATATCTAATGTGTGAGAGGAAAATGTGATTGGTCACTGAAGTACAAGCAAACAGATATAACCGGACGCAATGGAGCTTCATAGACCATGATGTTGTAATATACTATTTTTATATGGTCGAGTTTCTCTAACCTTGTGGATTTTTGATTGCCTGGAAGTAACAGCCTACTAGCATTACAATTCAATACAGCTAGGAATGACATTTGACCTTGAGTTTTGTACTTTTGATCTGACTGATCATCTAACTGACCAGACTGTCATCTTAAAATCTTCAGAAGTAAATATTCCAGCCAATTTATGTGACTTGATTAAGTTTTCACCACAATAAGAAGATAATAGCAGTGCTTGAAGAAATGATAACTTGTAAAGGTTTCTATAAAATCAAATAGGTGCATTATTAGATCGATATTGTCCAATGAATTATTTTATAAACAAATTCTAATGGATAACTGAAAAACAAGAAGTTTCAAGTTTCTAACAGTCAACTAGTATGTGATTGGTACATTCAGAAATGAGTAAACTGTACACTCAGACATATTGTTTAGATATGATTGATCAAACATATGAACAGATTCGAGAAACTCTCAATTCAAACGTCGCTCGAAATCCGTAGATCAATCAGAGTTAGACATTACTACCGTTGGAAGTCAGCCCAGTGGTCTGATGGTTAGGCGTTCGCGAACAATACCGGAGGTCCCGGGTTCGAATCCTGTGGGGGGCAGGAGTCGTGGATGCGCACTGCTGATGAGTCCCATACCAGGACGAAATGGCCGTCCAGTGCTTCCAGGTTTCTAATGGTGGTCTAACAATGACTGATTGATGATTTCAAATTTGTAAAAAAACAAATCTCCAAAGCTCTAACTAAAAAAAGTATCGTTAATATTATGGCGAAGATTTGTCGCTCAAATGGATAATCTCGTGGAAACTTCTGCCCGAGATTTTTTCAGCTGAAACTGTTGTTTAGAAGAACAATGATAATGCCACGATCAAGCCATGCAACTTGGAGAACGAAGAGCCCATCAAACGTATCTATATTGTACTTACCCTGTTACCAACAATGGAGTATAGGTCACCGAACAGTATTCTCCAACTTGCTTTGGCTTTTCCAGTTCTGTCCAATTTTTGTTCTCTCTTCTTATGTTTTTTTACTATTTTTCGGCTTAATGTGTTTCTTGGCCTTCCATTTTTCCTTTAACCCTGAGGGTTCTAAGCGGGGGTGTTACGCATGTACGTAAACACGTCAATTTGATATGCTTGAACTATTACGAGTTTACCTTAGTCGGAAGACGAAAGCGAGGATCGAGAATCCGGCGGCACGACAGGTTACTTTAATTCGAGTATCGCAAACCCTCATTGAATAAAAAAAGAAGACTTGATATGAAGAAGAACCTGTATTCTACATGCATCCATAAAGTACGAGGTCCAAGTTCATAAGAAGACGAGGATCCGGGTCATAAAACGTTACAGATAATGCGTATTTATACAGTTAGGTCGAATAGGAAACAGCATTGAAGTCTGTGACACGGACAATTAGGACGTCCAATGGCAAACATCATTTGAAGTGACAATGACAGTTGGTACGACCAATAGGAGACAGCATTGAAGTATGTGACATTGATAGTTAGAACGACCATAATATTGACCAATAAGAATCGACCAATCAAAAGTACACTTAAAAAATAATTCTTCTTAGGATATTTGGTGAATATTCTAACACAGAGAGGGCTTGTGTTTTGACACAGTTGGCTGCTTTCCTCAATGCGTGTCCTATCCAGTTGTAGAATACAGGTTCTACTTCATAACAAGTCTTCTTTTTTTATTCAATGGTTGAGTAGCATATCGTGTCACCGGATCCTCGATCCTCGCACTCGTCTTCCGACTAAGGTAAACTCGTAATAAATAGTTCAAGTATATCGAGTTGACGTGTTTACGTGCAGGCGTAACATACGATTAATGCTGAAGTTCAATATCGATAACCATGTCGTTTTTATATTCTTTATTCTTGTTTTACTTATTTCGTTGTTATTCAAGGCAAAAATTAAACAACAAATCTCTCAATATAAACAAGAGAAAATGGCCGAACAATTAACAGCACTTCATCAATTGAAAATACAAACAAAAATGGAACAGTTAATTCGTCAACAAAAACTTCATGATGCTGCTAGTCGAATTGAACAAAGAGTAAACTTATAATATATATTTTATTTTGTGTATTTTATTCTTGACATATTAATGTTTTGTTTTAATTTACTCTGGTGTGAAATCAGCAAAATTGTACCTCACTTATGGCGAAGGCGAGATATCCGTTTGCTGACTAAAGGACGAGTGTACTGTGCAGCAGTTTGCTCTGCCTTACTTTATAACTGTGAAACATGGCCATTGAGGGTAGAAGATATTCGTAGGTTACTGGTTTACGATCATAGGTGTCTTCGAAGCATTGCTCGTATATCGTGGGACACCCGAGTGAGCAACGCTGTAATTAGAAAACGGATGCTAGGTAAGAATGGCAGATCAATAGATGAAGTGCTGAAACTTCATCAGTTGAGGTGGTTGGGACATGTGTTGCGTATGCCTAACCACTGACTGCCTCGACGAGCTTTGTTTTGTAGTGTAGGAGTAGGTTGGAAGAAAGTTAGGGGCGGCCAAATCAAAACATGGCATAAATCCATGAAGTCATTGACGAGTGGACTGAGCCATGTCGGTAATTGTCGACTACCTGGTTGGGTTCAGCGAGATGATAATAATCGATGATTAGAGACATTGAATGATATGGCTCAAACTTTATCACCATGGGATGCCGGCTAGATGGTTCAGAGTTTAGGCGTTTGCGCGCAAACTCCTAGGTTCGAATCCTGTGGGTAGACGGAGTTGTGGATGCTCACTGATGTTGAGTCCCACCCATATCAAGACAAAACAGTCGTCATTCATTGCTTCTAGGTTTCTAATGGTGGTCTAACAATGATTGGTTCATGATTTCAAGGTATAATAATAGCGCCCAAATGAAAATCTTTATGTTAACATTAATTCTAAGAATATTTTTAAACTTTTGAAGTTGACAATTCTTTTCTTAATGTGAGTTAGTTCATTTAATGAAGAAAAACACTTTTTCTTAAACACACATTATTTAGTCTAATTTGAAAAACAAACAATATTAACGATTCTTTCTCATAAGACTAATAATCGTTTATAACATTTTGAAATCGAAATATCTAGCTGTCCGTAATACGCACCTGACCAGAAGAGAATATACTGTTTTTGTATCAGTTAGATTATTTTCTCAAGATAGATTATGTTATGATGTGCAGTGAGATATGAACGCGATACGTCCCAACGTTGCATCACTTGTATCCAAGGCGAGATATCCGTCTGCTAATCAAAGGACAAGTCTACTTAGCACTTTACTCTGTCCTATTTTATGGCTGTGAAACATGGACAGTAAGAGTAGAAAATATTTGTAGGCTATTCGTATTCGATCACAGGTTTATTGGAATCACTGATGGACTGGTGACTGACGAAATCTCAGCACGAATACACAAAGCTCGATTAGCTTTTGCCAACCTGCGTCAACTATGGCGTAGGGGAGATGTCCTTTTGCTAACGAAAGGACGAGTGTACTGTTCATCAGTTCGCTTTATCCTAATATACGGATGCGAAGCATGGCCGTTAACAGAATAGGACTTTTGTAGGTTACTAGTTTTCGATCATCGATGTCACCGAAGCATTGCTCGTGTATCCTGGGACAACCGTATAAGCAATGCTGTCGTTAGAAAACGAGTTCTAGGCAGGGGTGGCAAATCAATAGATGAAGCATTGAAACTTCATCAGTTGAGGTGGTTGGGACATGTTTTACGTATGCCCAACCACCGACTGCCTCGATGAGCGATGTTTTGTGATGTAGGAGTAGGTTGGAAGAATGCTAGGGATGACCGGACCAAAACATGGCATAAATCTATGAAGTCACTGACAAGTGTATTGAGTTATGTTGGTAGATGTATTCTAGCAGGTTGAGGTCCAAGAGACGTAAGTATCTGATGGTTAGATACTTTGAACGACATGGCTCAGAATCGCTTGCAATGTAGCGAGTGCATCCACTCTTTGTGTTCTCTCAAATTCTAACCTTCTGAATTCCTCATAATCTCCATCTTTCTCCTTCTAAATTTATCTTACTGAATTATACTCCTCGAATCATATCTTCGCTCCCTAATCTTCTTCATTACTGTTAATAATTCTACTATCGATACCACTCTTGGATTTGAACTGACAGTTGTGTCTCTGTGCTGACGTGGTATGGCAACCTGAACTGATGTACTTACGTACGAAGTTCTGCGTTGTATCTTTCTGTCTGTCTGTCTTCGAACCATTTCTCGTATATCCTGGGACAATCGAGTAAGCTGTGCTGTTGTTAGGAAACGGATATTTATGTATGGATGGCAGATCAATCGATTTAATGCTGAAATTTCATCAGTTGAGGTCGTTGGGACATGTATTACGCATGCCCAACCACTGACTGCCCCGCTGAGCAGTGGAAGGCTGGAAGAAAGCCAGAGTAGTGTGATCTGAACGCGCTACGTCATAACCACATAAACTGGCTAATTAAGAGAAACAACTCCTTAGAAAATGAATCCATTCCTCGACCAATGATCTGCATTCATCCTTTAGAATATTTCTTATGATTATTATTGTTAGGAAATTCATCAAATATCCTAAGAGAATTATTTTTTAAGTCTAATTCTATTGGTCAATTCATACTAGTCAATGTTATGATCGTCCTAGCTGTCAGCGTCACGTACTTCGATGTTGTTTCCCATTGATCGTACTGACTATCTATGTCACTTTGAATGTTGTTTCGTATTCGACCTAACTGCATAAATACGCATTATCTGTAACGTTTTATGACCCATATCCTTGGTTCGGGATCCCTATCTTCTGAACTCGGACATCGTACTTTCTGGATGCATGTAGAATACAGGTTCTACATCATAACAATCGGATTGGAGTCAGTCAGTCAGTCAGATGCAACGTAGAACTTCGTACGTAAGTACATCAGCTCATGGTGCCATACCACATCAGCACAGAGATGTAATTGTCAATTCAAATACAATAGTAGTAGAAGTAGTAAAGGTATTAGAAGTAATCGGAGAGGTTAGGATTAGAAGATATTATTCAAGAAGTACGATTCAGTGAGATACGTTTAGAAAGACAAAACTAAAGGTGTTGAAGAATCTAGAAGATTAGGATTTGAGAGAACACAAAGAATAAATGAACCGGAATAAATACCCAACCGTAGCTGCTACCTTGACGTGGTGGTCAGGCTTGCCTATCGTGATGACCCAACCGAGCTATACTGGCTGGAACATATGTCCCTCAAGGTTCTACCATGCCAGACAGGTCGATTGGAGAACGATGAGACTAAAAGCAGCTATCCAAGGTCTGAGGGCGAAGTCGTACTGCTGACTGACTGCAGAGGGGTGTGACAGCAGTAAGGTGTTTCCCTCGGACAACCATCATCTGCAGTGATGCTGCCTTCTCACAAGGAAGGAAGGAAGGGTTAGAAAAGGTCGACCCTAAAAATGTCACACCTCACCCTACCTCACGGATTTCCGTCTCCTTGGGTAAGGGTGCCCACTAAGGGCTTTCAAGAGCGGAGCGAATCCTCTAAATACCTTTCATCAAAAGGCCGTGCGTGACCGGCCTCAAGCAGTTGTCCCTTGGGCTCTGCGGTCACGCACCAACACTAATCCATCTTCCTTTTCAAGTCCCTCAAGAAACAACCTTCCACGGTGTGGGCAGCCGGGAAGTGACAACCGCCCTCATACCCGTAACAGCACGAGAGACCAAATTGGTCGAAATCAAATCGGATTAGAGTAGCCTGTCGTGTCACCGGATCATTGATCCTCGCTCTCGTTTCTTGACTAAGGTAAACACGTAATAGTTCAAGCCAAATGGACTTGTTTACATGCATGCGTAACACTTATTCCTGGTTTCAAATTTCACTCACATTTATTTCTATCCTAGGTACCACACACTTATTCACTACAAATTTCAACATGTACACACACAAAAAAAAATAATATTCAGCTCAAATTTTGATTACTACATAACATGTGACTGGTATCTCGATTCACTTGGTCAATTATGTCACTTTCCTCACTTTTGTTGTTGTAGTCACTGGATCAATTAAATCAATTATCAGCTCGTAAAAAAGCGAAAGAACAAACAGAAATTCCTCGACAAGAATTGATAGAACGAATTCCAATACAGGTGAGTGAATAGCGGGAGGATAAAAAGGACAGTAAGAGTGTATGGTTAGGATATTCATCCAATATCCTAAGAGAATTCTATTGGACAATTCCTATTGGTTGTCCTAACTGTCATTGTGTCACAGACTCCAATGTTGTTTTCTGTTCGACCTAAGTGTATAAATACGCATTATCTGTAACGCTTTACGACCCCGGATCCTCATTCTGGGGTCCTAGTTCTCTTCTGGACTCGGACCTCGTACTTTCTGGATGCTTGTAGAATAATACACGTTCTACTTCATATCAAGTATTCATCTATTCAGTCGGGGTTTGTGACACTCAGATTAGAGTAGCATGTCATGTCGCCGGATCCTCGATCCTCATTCTCGTATACCGACTAAGGTGAACTCGTTACAGTTCAAGCATGCGTAACAATAATATGCTGACAACTTTGAGTAACCATCTATCAACCAACCAATCAGAAAACTTTGCCCAGTTATAGAAACCAATGAACAGTATAAAACAATAAAATAACATTGAGATAATTGTCTTGATGGGAATAATTAATCCTCAAATGGTGAATTCTTCGTTGTGTAGTGAGTGAAAGGTTATGTTTGCATATAAGGAGTGTTATGAGTCCCCGGGTTATCATCAGTTCATGGGATTTTTGGTCACCAAGTAACATTATCTACAGTGTAAGAAGGTTTAGGGTTAAGTATTTAGAATTAAGTGGGAGTTCTGAGTTGGATTTACAAATTACAGTCACCATTTTCATCGTGAAATGACATCATTTTCGATGCAATGTTTTGTCATCCTTTAGTTTGAAAAGGGAGAATACTATTCAGCTTGACTAAACACTGAATCTCAATAAATACTTGTAATTTAACTTAAGAACTATTTTTAAATTTACTGTTCAGTTTAAAAATATGAATTTTACTGATTTCAAACGCATTTTTAGGTCACCATTATATTGCCATCTTTTACTTCGTTCATAAAAATATTACAAGTTAATTTATCTTTGGAATTTACATTTCGCACAGAAAACATGAGATTTTCATCTCGTTTCTAATCGGTCAACTCAATTCTTTCGATAAATTATACTCAAATTGCGCAAAAACTACAGATCGTTATACAATTCAAGAACGCATACTCTAAACTAATGAGACGTGTACAGCAGTTCCGATTGACTATCTTCAATCACAGAGAATAATGTACAATCAGTTTTCATACATACATAAAAACTTTAGGCAGTTAGTTAGTATGATACAGTTTGGTTCTCTGCGGAGGATGTTTACGTTGTGGAGCTTTCATTGTTTTTCTTCTGAACAAACGTCAAGTAGAAGAAGTGAGATATTCGAATCTCCCCACATATGATTCCTGAACTTGTTTTGTCAATCTCGATCTGAATTAGTGATTGTTGTCAGTCAACTTATCATTATCTATCCGTGTCCGTTTATTTTGATTGTATCCGCATTTGATCTGATTGCCTGAACTATATTTGTCCAAAAGATTTTTTTGATCGATCGATAAATTGCAATGTGATTTCAATGTGTTTATTGATTGCTTATTATGTTGAGCAGTTCTAAATATTCTCTCTAGTGTTCTTTCTAATCAAGATTTAAACACCTTTCCAGGGCATAGGCAGAACAAGAAAATGAATGAAATTATATCTGATGAGTGAAATTCAAATAAACAAACGCCTACTCATACATACAACATCAAAATTTACCAACCCAAAATATCAGACAAAAAACGAACGAAATCACTAATAGGAACCGACGAGCCGATCATCTATAATGTGTGCATTAAAACATTTGTTCAGCCCAAATGACTTGTCCCTGCTTTTGGACAAACTCATTAACTTTTTTACTCTGAGTTATTACCATTTACGTATCTTCTCATTTCCTGTCAATGATTCTCTTCAAATCTTGGCAGATTGGAATTGAACATGAGTGAATTGCTCGCTTCACTTATCAAGCATGTCTAGTCTATTTTTATTCTGACTATGAGTGTTTAGTCACGCTTCATCACACTGTGCTGGTTCACTCACTTTCGGCACTCGACTTCCTTTCTAATTGTACGCTTTTTATGATCATGTCTGTCTGTTTAAGTGAATGTATGAAATCAGTTCATCATCTAAAAAACTGTATCAGGCTTTTAGTAACAACTACCGTTGCACAGCTTTGTAGTGTATACAAATGGTGTCTTTCTGCATGAACGATTACACAGAATAAACTCATCCAATTGAATCGGTGTTCGGCTTCTCAATATCAACGTCAGACAAACTGAGTTATACGGAAATGGAAGAGAAGAAATATCGTCCGTCTCATAGCCTATTCAATCGTTCATCCAAATCACAGTCGGATCCCTCACCTACGATATTATTACTGAAGTCGTTTGGAATAGGTAGGTGTGATACATGAACCAACAAAACTAATTTAATCATTCCTCTGCAAATCAAAGGAACGAAATGGCAAATGAGGAGAAACAAACTATCATCTACAAAATAAACTATTCCAGCTGCGAAAATCATTTCATCAGACAAAGTGGATGTCCACTTCATCTTTGCCTGCATGAACATCAGTTAACTGTCAGACGCCCTGGCCCATCTCTTATATCAATGGAAGTGCTGAAATCTTGAATGAAAAGAACACTGAGAACATCAGGGAATGGATAGAAGAAACTACGAGTCATATGTGATGAGGAAATTCGAATACTTCACTTCTGCTATTTGAAGTTTGAGCTGATAATGAAATGTTATTCAGAAGATTGACTATGAAAACTTCACAACGAAAACATCCAATTCAGAGAAGGAAACTTTGCCATAATGAATGTGTGAATTAGCAGATATGTTTCAAATTTACATGAAATTCTTTTTAGACAGTTTTTAATTTGCTGAGAAGAATGAAACAAAGGAACTGAATCCATATTTTCTATAACTAATCTTTTGAATTACCATTAATAATGTTAGTACGCCAGCTGCTCTGGTGCTTGTTATGAAAATTTCATTTTGCCGTGCAAAATAAAGCATGACAATTTGTATGGATGCCCACACGTACCAACATCCAACAGGTTGACCGCATTCTTATCATCGATATATGTAATTGGTGTGAACATCAACCTGTATGTTGGATCGAACCCAGGACCTTCGGTCTCATAAGCCATTGCTAAGCTGATGAGCTGGCAGTTCCAACGGTGTTAACCCCTAGCTTAAATCCAATTCACGGTTTGGCGCGACTTCATCCATTGTTCTCGATGAGCACTGCTTCATACCTGACACCTGAGAAGCCGTACTCAATGCATTTCCACGCCGTCACGTGTGAAGCAATGCCCATCAAGGACAATAAACGAGGTCGCGCAATTCGTTTACCAAATATAAAATTACATTCCTGATTTTCAGCTTAACGTATTTGTATGAAGAAGAGGTTTATGACATTTAGTTCGTAAAGTAGATTACTTTAATAAGTATAAACTACCACTATTTCCGTAACGTACCAACTGTTAACAAACATTTCTACACCTTCATAATCCTCTTTTTCTTACATTGAAAAAAAACAGACAAACATACAAGTCACACGTGATCCACAACGTTTATGTCAATTAACAAAAGGATGGGAATTTCGATTAGCTCAACCAAAAACACAAACTATCATTAATCAAGGTCTTGATTTAAGAGCAAACACTGGAAGAATGATACCACAGTGGAGAAGAAATCTCTAATATATAATGATCATTATTATTTGTTTACTGATTACAAAATAAACAACCGATTTTTTACTTTCTCATTGTTGATTTTGATTTCTGTTTGTTTGTACAAATTGTTCTCTTTTGATTACTTATTTTTATGTAAACTATTAAACCATGTGTATATTGTCACAAATGTTGTACATTTTTCATGTAAAAATAACGATTTCCCTGTTATTTGAAATAATCGATCAGCGAACTAGGCGGTTACATTTTAAATGGGACCATTAAGGTGAGGCTGGGATATGTTTTGATGTGTGTAGTCCGAAATCTGAACGTCTTCTATATGCACTAATTCCCCTCTCCAAAAATTGACTTTTTTTATGAGAAGGTAAGATTGGAAGAGAAAATCTACTTGAGTACCGAACAAACAACCATAAATAGTCATTAATACATTTCTCGACTCTTAGAAAATGGATCCACTTCTTCTATTCCTAATTGTCATCAAGTGACCTTCTGGCACGACCAATTCTGACTGGCTACTTATAATAGTTATGTATTCCAGTTCATTGGAGAACACATTTTAAGTCGACATTATTGCATGTTCCTTTTTAAAATAAAGCGTTGAAGTTAAACCGTTTGTGAATATTTGTATGTGAATTACAAATTTTTTTAAACAGACTAAAACCACGTTAAGAAGGTAAATGACAACTAACCACTATCAACAAATGTTTGTCAACACTATCCAAATAGAAACAATGCAAACGTCCAATTACCCCCAGTACATTGGTAGTAATTACATTCTCATGAGTGAAAGACACTTCCCATAGTCCAAGTGAGGAGCCATGACCAGTGGAGAGTTCAGACATCGGATGTGAGACAATCTGGCAACCAATAAGCATAAATGGTTGAGCTTTATTGCGAATTAGTTGTAAATTAAAGGGGATACATACCCACTGGCAGTGTGGCCAAGAGAACTTGGATCCGATCCCAATAGGGTCATAATGGACAACCGACCGGAAACTCCATACCGGAGGGATAAGACAGTTATTTGTCCGGTGTCTCCTAGTTTTGTTGTTGTCTGTCTAAAGTTCGTGTGTGATGTAAGTTATAAAGTTATCCAAAGCATTTAGTCCGTTTTACTAATTTCCTATTACTTGCGTACTATTTTAGTATTCACATTCGTTTACATACAATCATCACCTTGACTATTTGGACTTTTATATGCTGACCTTGAAAAGTAGATGCGTAACTGGATTGGTCGAAATGTATAGCGAAAATACATTACAATTCTCAAATCAACTAGGTATTCCCACTTTTCTGTCAAAATCGATAAACTTAACGTCAATAATCTGTTATCACAACACGTCCCACCATCTCATCGAATACATACATCAATTCCAAGTAACTAAAAACCCCTTAACACATTATTTATGACACATAATGGATTATTCCAATCCTTGTCTCCAATCAAAAAAAAATTGAGTCCCATTTACTGGCGTACTTGTGTTTTAATCAAGTCCCCCTGTATTTAGTCAAACCCTTACTGTTTCAGAAGTTTTAACGACTCAAACAATTGTTGACAGCTTGGTCGATTTTCAACCACTTTTGTCACATGTTCATAATTTTAAACCAGTATGTTTGTACATGACCCCATATATGCTTGGATTATGACAACAATAATAATAGCTAGCTTCTAAACTCAAGATGAACAGAGTTACGAATAATGGTGGGCTAACAGGAGTTCGGCGCGTTTCGACTCACAATTTTAACTATGAGGATGCCAGACCAAAAACGAAATATTAGACGCACGATAGACAAACTTATTATAATCACAATCCTGATTGATCATATCGACTAGTCTCTAGTCAGTACGAAAGCATTAAATTTCATTTCAACTGCAAAATAGTTGTTAACGTAAACTACTGACAACTGACCAAAACCATACTACGTAGAACAAATAAAAAAAATGATCATGACATCATTATACGACAAGACTTTGTCGTTAATGTTAACGAATTACATAACATGTTATGCTTTAACAGGTTTAAACCTCTCTCTCAAGTACAACAGAACATGAGATTGTGAAATAGTGAAATAAGTAACCAGAATATCAACAAATATGTACGACTAGTACTCAGTCAGCACTTACGAAAGAGAAAAAATCCACCAGATGAAAGAAACACAAACAATCGAAATCCGAAAAAGAAAAAACAATCATCACAAAGATGAAAATGTATTCCAAGCGAATTACTAAAAAACTTCATGTTGTCATCCTATTCTTATTATTATTATCAATAATGAAAATAATAATAATAATAATAAATATTGAAAGAACAAACACCACGAGCATACTATTCAATAAGAAAACAAAACACGCCCAAGCACACTTACACACACACATGAACCGTTTAACACATCATCATCGTTGTGTGTCATTGTGTATTGATGAGCAGAGCACTAGAGGAGAAGCTGACACAACTTGCGGTGGGACAGAGAGACAATTACTCTCTTTATCTCTCTGTCTGTTTGTCTGCCCAATTGTTGTTGTTTTAGAAAGAAATGAGCACAGTAAATGATTATTTAAAACACACACAAAAACAAAAAAGAGATCATACACACACATGTATATATATATATATATATGTGAAAAAAATAAAAAGGCAAAACAGTTTTCATTGTTGATGCATGAGAATAGAGTGTTGAGTGTATCATAACAGTGTTAATTAAGTGTAAGTGTAAATGTACGTGGTCTGCTTGAGATTGGTGATTGCGCAGACGCACTACACAGACACGAGCAAGAGCATGAGTACATTGGGATCCGCTGAACTATTAGGCTAAATGTTTTTCAAAAACAAAGTATATTGTACTATGAAGATAAGAGGAGGAGGAGGAGGAGGATGTACTAATAGTAATGCATAAATAATTCAACTAAATTTTGCCAGAAAGCAAAATAAACAAATGCCAGAAAAAAAAAGTTGAAATTGTTTTTTTTGAAGAAACGAAAACTACCAACAAGCACTACTTGATAATGAATAATAACACTGAAAAATTTGTAAGGCAGCAAAGATCTTCATTTGTCTGCTTGCGTCTGCCTACCCACTTACCCAACAACACACCTACCTACTCCTCGTAGATATCCCATTCAAGGCTTAATACTAATACTACTAATAATGATAATTTAAAACTAACAAACATGCATGCAGTTGTAGTTGTGAATGAAGCAGAAATATCAGCAAAGATATATCATCAACTACTTTTGTTTGTCTTGAATGAGAAGGTACACACACACACACTTAGATAGGTAGGTAGATAGATAGAAAAATTGATAAATACATACATAACTATGTTTGTATGTGTGTGTGTGTGTGAATATAACAAACGAACATTGTTTGTTTTTTTCATTCTAAACACAAAATGAAACAACAAAGTTGATACCGAGAGAAAGCGAACGGACGAAGAGAATAAATAAATAAATTAAAAAAGAAAATTACAAAATGTTTGGTTGTATGGATTAGAGGAGGGGGGTTAGGGTTAGGGATAGTTGGTTGGTGTGTGTCTTCTGTTTTTGCACGCGTTAAAAGAAAATTCATGTGTAGGTATATATATATATATATATATATATATATATATATGCATAATATGTACGTGGATGTGTAAGTGTACTAATGAAATTCATTCATCAAATCCTTTGTGTCAGTCAAATAGAGAAAACGAAAACAACAATTCATCATGACGCTGTCACATAAATTTTGCATATCGCATCAGCTCCAGCACTTGCTGCTAATGGAAGTTGAGGATGCAATGCAACGGAATGCACTGATTCATCATATTTAAAACCATGATTAGTCATTTCTTGTATACATGCACGTGTTTCAACATCCCATACACGTATAGAAGCATCATGACCTGAAACGAAGGGATAGATAGATAGAAAGATAAATAGATGAACGATGAGAGAGATCAGTGTTGGTAATTTTAAGTATTGACAACTAACAGCTATTTGATTTAAACACATGAACAAACTATGGCACAAAGGGGCAACACACAAATTATTGAATTTATGAATGAGCTGCGACACTGTTTACACGCTCCAACCGAAGCAGGTAGGTAGGTAGTTATCTTAGGTAGGCCATACCCGGAGCCATTCACCTACAAATCTAATCTACAAGGCGTTCGACCGACGTCAAGAGGAAGATACAGTCTCATGGCAGTAAGTGATCAACAATAGGCTCCTCATAAGACATTTCTTTTGTCAGGATCATGGAGCACTCATGTATACCACTGGTTTGGAATCAGGGTTTTCACAAAATGCCATATATGAATCTCCCGTACTCAGTGAAACGGTTTAAGCATTGGACATTCACTGCTTGTCCTCCGAATTTCGTAAACAATACGACACCACAAGAAGGCACAGAATAGGACTAACCTAGCAGTGACAATATATATACCCATGGCCCTATGAGTTCATTTCAAGAAAGAGGATCCTATTCACTCTTAGCCGTACCACGGCTATACTATGACTGAGAAAGTCAACAGTGCTAACTAGTCGTCAAATAAATCCACGTGAATACTATTGGTGGTTACAGTGACTTGTTTGATTAGTTGACAGACTATTACTAAGTGCCTTGCAACAGAAACTAAATGGTTTATTGAGTGAAACAAAAAGGCCATCTCTAACATAGATTGAGCGGTCCACACAAGCAATTAGCAGCAAGCAAAATGCTAGGCGTTTATTATTATTACTATTCCAGTGAAACAATAAACTCTACATAAATTCATGTATATCAACTTACTTCCTGTTAATAAATACAAACCATGAGGATCCACTGCAAGACTTGTGACAGCATTCAAATGTGTTACCATAGCATCTACACATGCAGAATTTGTCCCAGCAGAACGATCAGACATTCGATTGATATCATAGAATCGTATACAACGATCTTCATGTGCACCAATAACCAGTGATAATGTTTGATGTGAACCTAATGCATTGAGTGCACGTTCTGTCCAACCATTAGGTAAACTATATTCACTTGCCACTGGGATATCGGCTAAATTATTAACAATGTGTGTGTGTGAGAGAGTTATTTGTCAAATATAGAAATAATTATATAAAATTGAAGTCATAGTGAAAAAAAAAAATTATTATTCAAAAGTTTATTTATTTCAATAGAATAACACTGATGAATGGATTGTTCAATGTAGAAGAGAGTATAATAGATGAAAGTGAGACAAATGCACAAGTACATAATCTTTCATGTTCCAGCAAATATTGTAATGTTTTTTTATACAGAGCCATTGTCACTAATTTAACAAACGGATATTTAAATGAATGTTTATTTTGAAAAAGATAATTTTGTAAATTTAATCTCGTTTACTGTGACAAAGTTCTGTGGTTTAACTATTGGATTATTTTATAGCCGGTAGTGGAATATACGATAATATTATGGTTTTATTCTAGTTCTTACGACTTTTTAGTTGAACAGGTCATTTATTTATGTGTAAAGCGTGTCAACTTAGAATGCAATATGTTGCGGATTACTTTACAACTTATAGTTATTATAACTGATATTGAAGTTTCACTGGTTTGAACATTGATTTCTCATGTTCAAATGCAATGTTCTTTTCTTTGTAAATCTTCAATTGCTGACTAATGCTTTCTTTAAAAGGAGACCAATCGAAGCTGCTACCTTGAAGTGGTGGTCAAGCTTGCTTATCGTGATCAGCCGACCGAGCTATATTGGCTGCAACATCAAAAGTCCGTGAGCTACCGGCCTCAAGCAGTTGTCCCCTGGGCTCTGCAGTCACGCACCCAGGTCTCCAAGACCGACACTAATATACCTTCCTTTTCAGGTTCCTCAAGAAACACCCTTCCACAGTGTGGGCAGCCGGGAAGTGACAACCGCCCTCATACCCGCGTAATAGCACACGAGACCAAATTAGTCACAAACAAATCCTTGATGATTATGATAGAAGTATTAATGATATACTTGAATGCTATAACGAGTTCACCTCACTCGGTAAACGGAACGAAGATCAACGATGCAATGAGACGATAGGCTATTCTAATCTGACTGTTCTAGGCGAAAAATCTTGATAAGGCATGGAGAATGTATTCTACAAGCACCCAGAAAATATGAGGTTGAAAAGCCCACAAATCAAGCTTATTTATATAATGATAGAAACACCCTCGGTGAGAGCCACAAAATAGCGTACTAAAATAATCCATCAACCAATAATAGTCAAGGATTTTCCGAGTGGGAAATGTAAGCTGAAGGTCAATCAAGCGTCATCGGCGCGAAAACAATAAAATTCAAAATTTCAGGATAGAATTACAAATGTAAGACCTTTCTCAAGTGAGTTCCGGGAATCTAACATCCCCAAAAATTAACTTTCATATGTAAGGGGGGATTTTCTACAACAATGACTGTAAAAAGTAATTCAATGTACTAAATAGTGCTAGATCGGTGTGACAAGGAAATGGTGAAAAATACTATTTTGACGGACTACTGCTGCAATGATTTTCCCTGGAACTGGTGTTCAATATAACGCTGAAATGTTAAGATATGGGTCAACGATAACTCTAATCAGTGTTCTTGAAATAAAAAAGTATTGTAGGTTTTGATATTGAGACTCATAGATGGTATCTTAGAAGTAAAAATTATATCTCAACAAGAATCAGTCCTGAACTTATAGATCAATTCGTCGAAAGAGTGGACACAATTTCGACCAAACTTACACGAAAATGTCAATTTCACTGAGAACACAACCTTTAAAAATCTATGCTTAAATTAAGCAATTTAAATAAATTACCAAAAGTGAAAACATTTTACTGACATACCCATATTCAATGGTTGTTCATCTCGACTAGAAGTAGTAGTTAGAGGTGGTGCTGGCGGTATTTGATTAATCAGCTGACCAGTTTGAACGTCTAACAGCGCTAACCAACCAGTACTAGTTCCGACAACACATTGAGACGCATTCAATGAGTCTGGACGATTAACCAAATAATGAAGACATGTCGGCCGGCCAAGTTGTGGTTCATTAGCACCTATATAATCAAGTCAATAAATACAAACATTGGATTTTTATATTTATTTATAAGTGACCATTGCAAAATAGTAATAATAGTTTTTTTGCTTGGTTGGTCAAAAGTATTTTCGAAATTATACAAAAATATCATCATCATCATCAGTATGTGTGTGCGTGTGTGTTATAGAGGTCGATGGACTATTATTATTAAAAATGAATAATTGGAATATAATATTTTGCAATCACAAACACAAAATAACCAAAAACATTCAACTGTATCAGCCATCGCCAAGCCTCACGTACACCAACGCACTCACTCGCTCATACACACACAGTGTGTAATTCAACAGCAAATACACTAAAGTTTGCAGTCAGTCAGTTGCAACGTAGAACTTCGTACGTATGTACATAAGTTCAGGTTGCCATACCACATTAGCACAGAGACGCAAATGTCAAATCAAACCCCATAGTGATAAAGATAGTAGAGCTATTAATGGTAATGAAGAAGACTAGGGTTTGAAGACATTATTCAAGAAGTATAATTCAGTGAGATAAGGTTAGAAAGACAAAGGTTGAGGTGCTGACGAATCCAGAAGATTAGGATTTGAGAGAGCTCAACGAATGGATGCACTTGCGCCATTGCAAACGATTTTGAGCCATGTCGTTCAAGGTCTCTAACCATTGATGACTTTTGTCTCGCGGACCCCAACCAGGTATCCTACATCTACCAACATGACTCAGTCCACTTGTCAGTGACTTCATGGATTCCTGCCATGTTTTGGTTTGGCCGCCACTAACTTTCTTCCAACCTATTCCTACACTACAAAACAAGGCTCGTCGAGGAAGTCGGTGGTTGAGCATACGTAACACATGTCCCAACCACCTCAACTGATGAAGTTTCAATACTTCATCTATTGATCTGCCATCATACCTAGTACTCGTTTCCTAACGACAGCACTGCTTACTCGGTTGTCCCACGATATACGAGCAATGAAAGTTTGCAGACGCTAAACCTAGCGCCTGTCTTTAGTTTATACATACAATCAATTTCAATTTGTAACATCTGAAATAATAATGTAAGAAATTTTGCCTACTATTCGATGAGAAATACATGATAGACGGTAATGTGTTCACATCAACAATTGCATATTACACAAGTATTTATTTACTAAAATTTAAAAAAAAAATTATTTTCCTCAACTAAATTTATATCATCAGATTTATTAATTTTCTGTGTGAACAAAATAGACAAAAGATACACCTTGAAACACAGTTATATTGCTGCTATGTTGCTAAGATTTTTATAGGGCAAAACAAGATCAAGCTGCTCAGCGATGATACTTCAAACAGCCCAGCGCAGCTAAGTAGGCAGTCAGCAGGGAATATATATTGAATTAAACAAGCAGACCGGGAGAATGAGCAACAAACACTCAATTCACGCATAATATATACACAAACAATACAAAAATGTCCTTGAAAAGCATCACAAAAAGGAAAACAAACCAATGACGTTTAAGATCCTTTCAAGGGCGAAACATAAACGAAAGGTGATAATAATAATAATAATGGACGCTCTAGACGCGAAAACGAGCAATTTAAATCTCTATCAAAAAATTATGTAAAAAAAATAGTAAGAAGTTCAACAGGTAGGTGAATTGTAAGGATCTAGCATTCCCAACAGTTATCCGCCATTTGTCTAAGGTTGATATATATTTCAATACATTTCAATAGACAGTATAGAATAATATATGATCAACTGGAATTAGACGTTAACACCGTTGGATGCCGGCTTAGTGGTCCAGAGATTAGGCGTTCGCGCGCAAGATCAAAGGTTTCGGGTTCGAATCCTGTGGGTGCAGGAGTCGTGGGTGCGCACTGCCACTGACGAGTCCAATATCAGGACGAAAAGGCCGTCCAGTGCTTCCAGGTTTCTAATGAGGTTGGTCTAACAATGATTGATTGATTGATAATTTTAAATGTGTAAAAAAGCAATAATCTCCATAACTTTAATTGCACAATATATGTGAAAAGTAAAAACGACATACCTAAAGGTTTAATTAAACGATCCAAATGAACTGAGAGGACTGGGGCAATTGGTGAATCATTTTCCAATTTCTCTACAGTAGACCAAAAATCAATACAACCATTTGCATGTGCAGCAAGTAACAGAGGGCTAGATGGATGTACAACAATTGACCAAACAGGTGATGATGAATCTGCAAAAAAAACAGTATTGAAAAGAAAAAATAATTGATACACAATAAACCACATTGTATTTTTTTAATAAGGATGATGAAGATAAGAGATTTGATTGAATTACAATGCAAAGTAATAGATAACCTTTCCTATCCACTGTATTTCAGAAACAAAATGGATGATTGAATAAATACTACACCAATAAGTTTTAGGTACTTCAACGGTACACAGCACAGAGACTAACTAGATAACATTAAACTAGATGCTGACCGTAACTGCTACCTTGAAGTGGTGGTCGAGCTTGCCTATCGTGATCACCTGACCGAGTTATATTGGCTGCAACATATGTTCCTGTAGGCTATACCATGCCAGGCAGGTCGATTGGAGAACGATCAGACTAAAAGCAGCTACTCAATGTCCGAGGGCGAAGTTGTACTGCTGACTGACTGCCGAGGGGTGTGACAGCAGTAAGGTGTTTCCCTCGGACAACCAGCATCTGCAGCAATGCTGCCTTCTCACAAGGAAGGAAGGAGTTAGAAAAGATCGACCCTAAAAACGTCACACCTCACCTTACCTCATGGATTTCCGTCTCCGGCAGTAAGGCCTTTTGAACAAGAGCAGGGCTAACACTTTAAAAACTCACGAAAAGGCCGTGCGTGACCAGCCTCTAGCAGTTTTCCCTTGGGCTGCGTGGTCACGCTTCCAGTTCTCTAAGACCAACACTAATCTACCCTCCTCTTTCAGGTTCCTCGGGAAACACCCTTCCACGGTGTGGGCAGCCGGGAAGTGACGACCGCCCTCATACCCATAACAGCACACGAGACTAAATTGGTCACAATCAAATGCTTCTAAAACTAGATACACACACTTCAAAAATAAAATACGGAGAACCAGACAGACAGATACAACGCAGAACTACGTACATAAGTACATCGGTTCAGGTTGCCATACCACATCAGCACAGAGACGCAACCGTCAGGTCAAATACAATAGTGACAGCGATAGTAGAATTATTAGCAGTAATGGAGGGCATCTAGATTCATTATACATTGATCGACACTGATCTAGGATTTCTATATCTCATTTACTTAGAGTAGGTGTGCAAACTTTACAACTTGTTTGACTGTCACCTGTTGTTTCTCCAAAGAATGTAAGTAGTACATGTAACTACAAAATATTTTTTTTCAAACGGTATTAATTTATTTAAAAAACCAACTCACTGTCAAAAACTGGACCAGTCACAATGTCTAATTCTTGAGGAGCATATATATCAATCAAACCTAAACCATTAGAGGCCGACGGTAAACGCCATGATCGAACTGTTCCATCTAGACCACCGGAATATACAGCCGTATTCATAGTTGATGAAAGCATAGGACTAGGTGTAGTCACGCATAAAACAGGACCCTTATGACCACAGTAAACATGTACAGGTGACAATTCATCCACTGGCCCAGCATTGAGACCTGCTCTTCCTGGGGTGATAGCCTATAAAATACATATATATATATGAATACATGCGGAATCGATTAATAGACTTTTACAAGTAGAGAAGAAATAGTATTGATACTAATATTGTTAAATTTAGAATTACACATGAAAAAGGGTTTACTTTGGATTACCAGTTTTAGCACTCTATATCAGCAGTATAAATAATTGAATGCAATACGGAACTGATTTCAACCAAAACTTATCTCTATTCGATCAAACGATTAATATAACTAATTCTTTACTCTGCAGCAATGCAGACTTGATGTCTACTACATAGATCTGGAAGGTTTCTCTCTACATGATAGTTATATTATTATTCCACTCAACTAATCGATTTAAGGTAGTGTGTATGTCACATTTCATACAAAAGGGTTCGCAGATTAAAATGAATGCATTCTATTTCACGGCCTAAAATTATAATAAGATTACCAACGTAAATTGAAGTCGTTAACAGTTTAACAAGAAGCTTTGAAATATACTGCATTCATTTTTTTAATCTGCAAATCTTGTTCACCTCCTCCTCCTCCTCCCCCGCTAATAAAAAACGTACCGAAATCTATATAAACACTTTATGAAGGCCTTTTTACTATTGATCTGGTCATAACGCATAGTAAACTCCTAGTGTGGTGTGTGCTACTTATACGAACGATATAAGTAGTATAAGAATAGACGTGAAAGAAGAAGTCTTACGGTCAGAAGAGGAAAACGGAAAGCAAATAGAGCAAAAGCAAGAAAGAAATAGAGCACCGACAGGAAGTAAAGGAAGCAACAGCAGGAATGGAAGAAGGATGGAGTGTTGGAAGTCACGACTCAAAGATGGTGTGCAAATAGAGTATTCAATGTAATGTTATCGTTTTTAATTGACTAAGAGTGTAAATTTGCCAAATACAATCTATTGAGCCTGCCTCAGTTTTCTCACTAGTATTAACTAAACTTACTTATTTTACCTTTCCTTTATTTGATTTCATTAAAGGATTCACTATTCAATTAGCTTAGAGTTCGCAGATACAATGGTTTTGTTGTGTTAAGTAAAGTCTTCTAAGAACATTGAGTAACAATCCAACCATGTTCAGGTTGTATTCAACTCTTGAAATGAAAAATATTCCTGAAGTATTGGACTGTATCCCTAGATGTGACGCGATTGGGACCTAGTAAATTGGTGTTTGATGAAGTTTCGACACCGTTTCAGAAAGCTTCCGTGGCTTTTTTAGACTTGCATCGAATGGGGCGTGGGCGAGTATAGTTCGCAGCAGCCCGATCTGCACTACTAAACGAATATAAAACATGGCCTTTAAAAAATAAACCAAACGTGTAGTCTGCAGGGTTGTGAACATGAGTATCTTTAACGTATTACAAGCGTATCATAAAAAGGAGGAGTATCGATGTGATGGGGTGTAGGATTCAAGTCCGCTCAGATGTTTGTAGCATATCTCTGAATACAATCTACATTAACAAGCAGTAATGGCTGATTTAGTATAGTGAATCGGGTTAATAGGAATCAATAGCATACTGTATGTTTAGGTTGTAAGCATGAATGAGTTAGTTATTTAAATACTCTCTATAATGTCATATTTTTTAAGCATAGTTGTGAGAACTGTAACATCAAAAATCGACTAGAGAATAAGATGTAGAATAGTGAATACAAAGGTAATGAAGAATTTAACTGACAAATTAGTGAAATCAGTATGTTTGACTATAATCTGAACAAGATTTATCAGACGAAAAATAAAGTTTAACTTAATTTTAATCGGCATGATATTGTACAGACAAATCTAGCGCATAAAACATATCGGAATGGAAATAACAAATGTATAAAGAGGTAATTATAACAATGAATACAATCGAAAATAAACATACCGATCCAGGAGGTCCAGTTTTTAACAAATTCCAAAGCATTATACATCCATCTTCACCAGCTGTATAAACAGCTCGTTCAGTAGGATGAAATGCAACACTTCTAATACCGTCAAAGTGACCACGAAGTGTATACCTCGGGACCCATGGTCGACGACCAGTTGAATAAGTTGATGAAATATTTGCTCCACTATCTACTTGAGCATTACTACTGACAGAACCGCCCAACATGGATGATTCATAATTGCTTCCAGGTAAATTTGAATCACAAACATCACCATCTGTGGAGAACACAAATAATGCCAGAACAATTAAACCAATGTGAACCAGTATGAGACTCATCAACAGTGCGCATCTACGATACCCACAAAGGACAATCTTACTAAGGACAGTTTAGTGCCTCCAGGTTCCCTTCCAATGGTGATCTAACATTGATCGATTCATCATCCCAGTGAAACTCTACAACTCTCACACCCTACTATGATGACTATTAAGTAATTCGTTTTATTTACTGTTATAACAAAGGAATATCTGCAAGAGACTGTTTACACTAATTCATTATTGTGATATCTCCGGTGAATAGGTCTATCAACAGGATATACACACAGAATAATTCAACAAACAATTATCAATTTCTGTTACTTGTTAGTGATGACCTCAACACTTTTCACAGCTAATCAGTTGTTTTTTTTAAAAAAATAATAATTTATAAATACTTACTTAAACCTGAATCAGCTTCATTAGCTACTGTTAAACTAGCCAAATCACCAAGTCCAAGAGCATCGGTTGGATTAGATTCTTTCACAGATTCTAGACGAGTTTTTACACCAACACCAACACCAACAGCACCACCAGCACCAACTTGACCAGTGGAATCTACAATACTAGGATCGGATAAATCTGATCCCCATAAATTGTTTGTTGTACTTGATGAATTGGATTTATTGTTGTTCGATGAGACAGAATTAGAAGTTGGACCAGTGCTATTAGGAAATACTGCCACGGTTGAATTAATATCCGATAAAGAATTCGGTAAAAAATCATCATTGCTGTCAACTTTTTCCGACAGTGTATTGATTAAATCCTTGCACCGGGAAAAAAGAATAAAATTTAAGAACATTGATTAAACTGACTAAGTAGTGAATAAATCATTCCTGTTGTAGCGTCTTTTTTTTCTGATTGATATGTTGTAAACAATGAGTACCTACAGACTAGTAAGTACCAATGGTCATGTGTTGAATGATATGTGCAAAAATAACTTACACAAGACAAAACGTCAATAGTATGTGAAAAGTGAAGAGGAGATAATCACATGAAAGAGTGAAACATGGAGAAGTGTATTTCAATTAAAAACACAACCGATAAACAGTTCGTTTGGTTAGCAGCCCACTGTTACAGTTACAGTTACAACTTAGAACTTCATACGTACGTACATCAGTCCAGGTTGCTATACCATATTAGCACAGAGATGCAATTGTCACTTCAAATCGACATAGTTGTTAGCTGGACATAGATGGATTAAAGCATGACTGCGTTAGCTGCGCGCTGATTGGCTAAATTTTAGCCAATCAGCGCTAGCCGTCGCTTTGGCTTCTTACTACCAGTGAACCTTGCTATTTGGAATATAATCTCTTCCTGTTCAACCGTGTTCTGATTTTGGGACTTGTCGAGTGTATTGCTGTCAGAGAATACTAAGCAATAGGAATAGCTGAGTTTACTAACAGAGAATCATAAAAAGAGTAGTAGAGGTAGTAGAAGTTTTGCATTAATCGGAAATGTTAGGGTTTGACGATATTATTCAAGAAGTAGAATCTAGTGAAATAAACTTAAAGAGATAGAGGTGATGAAGAATTGCGAAGACTAGGATTTGATAGAACACAAAGAATGAATGCACCTGCGCCATTGCAAACGATTTTGAACCATGTCATTTAAGGTCTCTAACCACTGATTACTATCATCTCGCGGAACCCAACCAGGTAGTCTACACCTACTAATATGGCTCAATCCAGTTGTCAGTGACTTTATGGGTTTGCGTGATGTTTCGGTTTGGACGCCCCTAGCTTTATTCCAACTTACTCCTACACCTACAGTGGATGTAAAAGGAATAGTACTTGATATTTTTGGCCATTAAGTTGTAATCGTGAACCGGTGGACAAATCAGCAACCATCCCACTTAGTTCATCCAAATACATCGATGCAAAGAACTGGTGATAGCTAGGACAGCAAACACAAAAACTTACAAGGCTGATGTTTCAAGATGGAAACGCCTGCTGAGCTATTATTTCTGCTACCTTTAGACGCACAGTGGATCGTTGTTCATGAGTGAATAATTCTTTGTCAGTCAAGTTTTACCTTGTCACTCACATGATACATGCAGATCATAAAATAGTAAGTGACCTTCGATGACACATTAATTTAAGGATTAGAACTCAACTAGTACACTATGCTACACGAAAGTAGCTCTATGGACACACCCATACGAAGTAATAGAATCAAATGAGCCAAAATTGAAACAATTTATTAACCAGTGAGTTATGATTAGAACAATCGACATTAAGGAAGCTTCAGGTAAAGAATGATAGGGCAAATCTGGTATTAAAAATGTCCAAAGCAACTATGTGGGTAAAAAAAAATAAATTAATGAGAAACTCACCAAAATATTCGTATCGGCTGCATGTTTACGTCCGAATCGCTTCGATTGTCCTGCATTGCCAATTTCCCCAAAACTATTCAAAAACGACGATACCGTGGTACTGGAAGTGATGTTCTTGGCATACTGTCATCGTAAAGAGGAAAAAAGTTAAGTCAATAATGGATACAAAAAAATTAGAGATGAATGGTGGCAATGAATGGCATGAATATTTTCCCATTTTTCAATTTTCGTAAGTGTTAATACAGGCTAAATAAAAACTAATAATGACACTCATCACAATATTGATTCAACCAAGTGGTGTCCGTCAAGGATGTCCAATCTCTCCATTCTTGTTTAACTTTGTCGTAGACATCCTCTTAGAGTTAACATTAGGCTCGTCAGATTTTTCAGGGGTTGACCTTCTACCAGGAAAGTCGCTTACTGATCTAGAATGTGCAGATGACATAGTTCTATTCGGTGAAGACGCTGACAAAATGCAGAGTCTTCTGACTACCATAAGCAACAATGCGAGCATGTTCGGGATGCGGTTTTCCCCCTCGAAATGCAAAATGTTGCTTCAAGATTGGGTTGCATCGGTACCTGAACTAGTGATAGGGAGTGAAGTAGTCGAGCGTGTTGATCACTTCACTTATCTGGAGAGTCTCATCAGTGCTGATGGCCTGGTGAATGACGAAATCTCAGCTCGGATACAGAAGGCTCGATTGGCTTTTGCCAACCTGCGTCACTTATGGCGTAGGCGAGATATCTGTTTGCTAACCAAAGGACGAGTGTACTGCACAGCAGTTCGCTCCGTTATCCTATATGGATGCGAAACATGGCCGTTAAGAGTAGATGTTCGTAGGTTACTAGTATTTGATCATAGATGTTTAGGAAGCATTGCTCGTATACCGTGAGACAACCGAGTAAGCAATGCTGTCGTTAGAAAACGAGTTCTAGGTAAGGATAGCAGACCAATTGATGAAGTGGTGAAACTTCATCAGTTGAGGTGGTTGGGACATGTGTTACGAATGCCCAACCACCGACTGCCTCGTCGAGCTAAGTTTTGTGGTGTAGGAGTAGATTGGAAGAAAGTTAGGGGCGGCCAAACCAAAACATGGCACAAATCCATGAAGTCACTGACAAGTGGACTGAATCATGTTGGTAGATGTAGGATACCTGGTTGGGGTACGCGAGACGATAGTCATCACCAGTGGTTAGAGACCTTGAACGACATGGCTCAAAATCGTTTGCAATGGCGCAAGTGCATCCACTTGTTGTGCTCTCTCAAATCCTAATCTTCTGGATTAGCCAGCACCTCTACCTTTGTCTTTCTAACCTTATCTCACTGAATTATATACTTCTTGAATAATATCTTCAAACCCTAGTCTTCTTCATTACCATTAATACCTCTACTATCTTTATCACTACGGGATTTGATTTGACATTTGCGTCTCTGTGCTAATGTGGTATGGCAACCTGAACTTATGTACATACGTACGAAGTTCTACGTTGCAACTGACTGACTGACTGATTCAACCAACTATTCAGTTAGTGTAATTGCAACATAGCAAATTATTAGTACACATATATTAGCCAAAATTTAATGGAAGTCACTGTATTTTTATAGCCTTGCGTAGTTTATGATTGACTAATATATACATATACGGTTAAAATGAACTGTTCTAGTAATAACTAAGTGAGAAAGTTTATAACTCCGCCAGTAGAACCTTAGGGGCTACTGCCGGTCCCAAGCCCGGATAAAGGAGGAGGGTTGGACATGGGGTTGGCGGCCCCATTCCGTTGAAATCTAACTTGCCAAAAAAACGCTAACCAGAAAAAATAATTCAAACCATTTTAACTCTGCCCTGGGAGTTGGAAGAACAATTATGACGTCTCGTGATGAAAGCCGAGTCCCCTCGGAAGTCACGGGGCCGATGCCTCTTCTGACAACCAGAGCAACCATTTTTTTAGGTACATGGAACGTTCGTACATTGTGGGAGACTGGAAGACTATTTCAAGTTGCGGCAGAAATGAAAAGATACAACCTCGAGGTGCTCGGCATCAGTGAAACACATTGGACACAGGTAGGACAACTGAGACTTGCTTCAGGGGAACTGCTGTTATACTCTGGTCATGAAGAGGAAAACGCTTCACATACACAAGGAGTTGCACTGATGCTGTCCAAACATGCACAAAAGGCACTGATAGGATGGGAATCTCATGGACCCAGGATCATTAAAGCATCCTTCAAAACAAAGAAAGAGGACATTAGAATGAACGTCATCCAATGTTATGCACCTACCAATGACTACAATGACGACGTTAAAGATCAATTCTACGAAAGGCTGCAGTCAGTCGTCGATAAATGTTCACCAAAGGATTTGACGATTCTTATGGGAGACCTGAATGCCAAGGTTGGAATGGACAACACTGGATATGAAGACATCATGGGACGACATGGACTGGGAGAAAGGAACGAAAACGGTGAGAGATTTGCAAACCTATGTGCCTTCAACAAACTGGTCATCGGTGGCACAATATTCCCGCACAAACGCATTCACAAAGCCACATGGATTTCACCGGACCACACTACTCAAAACCAAATTGACCATATCTGTATCAACAAAAAGTTCAGAAGGACCATGGAGGATGTGAGAACCAAGAGAGGAGCTGATATAGCTTCAGATCACCACTTGCTGATCGCCAAAATGAGATTGAAACTAAAGAAGCACTGGACAGCGGGGCAGACAACATCACAGAAGTTTAATACGGCCTTTCTTCGGGATACCGTAAAACTCAACGAATTCAAGATAGCCCTCACCAATAGGTTCCAGGCCTTTCAGGATCTACTCAATGGAGAGGAAGCAACATTGGAGAACATATTGGAAAGGGATTAAGGAGGCAATCACTTCAACATGTCAGGAGGTCCTTGGTCGCAAGAAGCACCATCACAAGGAATGGATCTCTGTTGGTACTCTTGAAAAAATTCAAGAAAGGAGGAACAAGAAGGCAGCTATCAATGTCTGCCGAACAAGAGCAGAGAAAGTTAAGGCGCAAGCCGAGTATACAGAAGCAAACAGGGAAGTGAAGAAGAGCATCAGAGCTGACAAACGAAAATATGTGGAAGATCTAGCAATGACGGCAGAAAAGGCTGCAAGAGAAGGAAACATGAGACAATTGTACGAAACTACAAAGAAGCTCGCCGGAAACTATCGTAAACCAGAACGACCAGTGAAAAGTAAGGAAGGGAAAATAATCAGCAACACTGACGAACAGCGAAATAGGTGGGTGGAGCACTTTAAGGAACTATTGAATCGACCAGCTCCACTGAACCCACCCAACATCGAAGCAGCATCCACGGACCTCCCAATTAATATTGGCGCACCTACGATTGAGGAGATCAGTATAGCCATCAGACAAATCAAGAGCGGCAAAGCAGCAGGACCAGACAACATTCCAGCAGAGGCAATGAAAGCAGATGTGGAAGCAACTGCGAAAATATTTCACATTCTCTTCAAGAAGATTTGGGATGAGGAACAAGTACCATCAGATTGGAAAGAAGGATACCTCATCAAAATACCAAAGAAAGGCGATCTCAGCAAGTGTGAAAACTACAGAGGCATCACTCTTCTTTCAATACCAGGCAAAGTCTTCAACAGAGTATTGTTAAACAGAATGAAGGACTTCGTAGACGCCCAACTTCGAGATCAACAGGCCGGATTTCGTAAGGATCGATCGTGTACTGACCAAATTGCTACATTACGGATCATTGTGGAACAATCAATTGAATGGAACTCACCACTCTACATCAACTTCATCGACTACGAGAAAGCATTTGATAGCGTGGATAGGAAAACACTGTGGAGGCTTCTTCGACACTACGGTGTGCCTGAGAAAATAGTCAACATCATACGGAATTCTTATGATGGATTCAACTGCAAAATCGTGCACGGAGGACAGCTAACCGACTCTTTCGAGGTGAAGACCGGTGTCAGGCAAGGTTGCTTACTCTCACCCTTTCTCTTTCTCCTGGTCATCGACTGGATTATGAAGACGTCAACATCTGGAGGGAAGCACGGTATCAACTGGACAGTTAGGACGCAGCTGGACGATCTGGACTTCGCAGATGACCTGGCTCTTCTATCGCACACTCAACAACAAATGCAAGAGAAGACGACCAGTGTAGCAGCAGCCTCTGCAGCAGTAGGTCTCAACATACATAAAGGAAAAAGCAAAATTCTCCGATGCAACACAACATGCACCAACCGAATCACGCTTGATGGAGATACCTTGGAGGACGTTAACACCTTCACATATCTTGGCAGCATCATGCATCCCCTGCAT